TGGCTCTCAAAGGAATATATTCATTTTTACCCCAGGGGTTGGTAGGTTAGCTTGTCTTCTCATGAATGTTTCTGAAACGGTTAAACCAAATACCATTCAGACTTTGAGACTCTGTTCATTGTATCGTAATGATTTGTCATACTTGAACACTCCAGTTAGCAGCAATTTAGTGGCAATGCCAAGGTAGTGCAGTAGCAACTGGCTTACACTGTCATGGCTGTCTCATCTCCCAAGTCCTTTAGTAAGTAACCTTTAGTCAAGGTGTATCTTCTGCTTTCTGCACTGTGTTTCTGCAAGGGAAATATTTAATCTTTTGAAAATCTGCACTTAGAATGAAGTGTTTTGGTTGAGGTCTTTCATAGGTTTGACCAGTTTAGATATTTGGGGTTAAACACAGTATACATAAAATGAGAAGGAAATTAATAAAAAATTAGCATTCAAGTCCTTCCCCCAAAAGTATCCCTTGCCTGGCCAGTAATGTAATAACCTTGCCATTTCACTGCTTGGCTAATTGAGTGCCTACCATTACAGCTGGATTGCAAAGTATCTCTTGAGGTTTTAATAATAGAAGTCTGAAAACCTAAAAAAATCAGTGGAACTATCCAGAAATTCAAATCCTGGAATGAAACTGTTGCTTATTAGAAATCTATTTCCCCATTGTTTGTCTCATACAGTCTGCTGTTGTCTTGGAAAGCATGAAAAAATAGCTTATGCCATGACTATTCAAGCAGAAGATAGCAGTGCTACCAACTATGAGGAGAAAAATGGGTGAACAAGGATCAAAGTTATCTAGAAGCACGGGATCTGGTTATAGGATAGGAGTCAAATTCTCATTTGAAAGGTGTGTCTTAATACAAGAATTCAGCATCTGAAGGACAACTGTGTGTGAAGAACATAATTAGCTTGCCATTGTGGAAAGAATTTATGTTCTGGTTTCCTCCAGGTATTGAAGCTGAGTAAAATTTGTTTTAATGAGGTTGTTGCAGATCTTGTAGGTAATATGGGGTAACTGTACAAAGACAGAAGTATCCAACCCTCCTTTATCTTCTCTGCCAGTTTACTCTTTCAAGTGTTTTTGCTAATGGTCTGTGTTACGCATCCAACCCAGTGAGGCTGGTTCCTTTCTTGTCTCCTTTCACACCCGCTTCTCCCTGTCTTATATGTGTGATCTGTACCTTCTGTGATGACACAGTATTATTCTAGGCTCTACATGGCAGCTAACTCTAAGCTTGCATAGTCAGTTCCAAACCCATAGGAAAATAGTGGATAAATAATTCTAAACTGTCGTTGACATGGTTTAGCCATGGCTGGCAATTAAGTATCATAGGGGTGCTCTCTTTTTCCCCCCCTGCTCCTGGGCCAGTTGGGAGGAGAATTGCAAAGAAAAGGTAAGCCTTGCAGGTTTAGATAAGAACAATTTAATAATTGGAAAAAACCCACCACCACTCTGATAAATAACTAGTTGGAAACTGGGTGTTACCGTTTGTTGTGTTTGTGCATAAGGTAACCAGTCACACAGTGTTTTATCTGCTAAGAACCACTAAAAGTGATTTCAGGTATTATTTCAAAAGAATACTTAGAAGGTTTATTATGCAACTGCATCAGTGATAAAAACCAAACAGTGTATATAATCACTGTGCAAAGAGCAGGTCTTTCATTATCTCTTAGTGTTGAGAAGAGAAAGGAGAATTTTTTTTTTTCTTTGATGTAGAAGGAGGTTGCTTTGTTTGGTTTTTACTTTTTCTTCCCCTGAAGTTTCGGGGAATGCTGGATTCCCCATCACAAGTTTTATCCCAGTTTTCTCCTACTGTCTTTGACAACTGAGTGTTTATCCGGTTCTCTGACCTTCATATCAAATGTATTTTCATGAAATACATTTTTGCATCCTATCCCTAGTAGATAACAAATCCTTATTAGTCATATATGTAATTGGGAACTGTAACTCAGATTTTTCTAAGGTATTGTCTCTTCCTGAAGCAATTATTTAGTCCCTGGTGATAACTACCTTTGCATTCAAAGAGTTACTTGCTACTCCTTCTTTTAAGGTTTGTATAAAAATACTCAAGTTTGTGTCTGTGTAGATCAGAGATCTGGATTAATATCTAATAAAATTAAATAAAAGAACCCTTAGTTGATGAAAAGGTGTGAAGGCCTATTAGAGGTAGTGATTGAGCCAAGTGGTTGGGTTTTTTTCCTCCCTTTTATTTTCCAAGAGTTTTTTCTTATAAAATCATAGATTAGTTTGTGTAGTAGGGGACTTAAAAGTCAAATAGTCCAATCCCCCTTGCCTTGAGTAGGGGCCTAATGAACTAGATCAGGTTGCTCAGAGCCCAATCCAGCCTTACCAGGGAAGGCTCATCTACCACCTCTCTGAGCAACCTGCTTTAGTGTTTCACCACCCTCATCATAAAATAATTCTTCCTTATATCTAGCCTGGGTCTACGCTCTTTCGGTTTAAAACCATTATCCCTTGTCCTGTCTCTACAGGCCCTATTAAAAAGTCTGTCCCCACCTTTCCTTTAAGTACTGAAAGGCCACAGTGAGGGATCCCTGGAGCCTTCTCCACTCCAGGCTGAACAACCCTGACTCTCTCAGCCTTTTCCTCCTAGGAGGAAAATCCTCTGAGCAGTTTTGTCACTCTCCTCAGGACCTGCTCCAACAGGTCCATGTCTTTCTTGTGCTAAGGGTGGTAAGGTTTCATGAGAGTAGAGTAGAGGGGGAGAATCACCTCCCTTGACATGCTGCTCAGAGTTCTTTTGATGAACCAACCAGGATATGGTTGGCACGTTGATGGGTCATGTCCAGCCTCTCACCCACCAGCACCCCCAAGTCCTTCTCTGCAGGTCTGCTCTCGATCCATGCATCCCCCAGCCTGTGCTGATAACAGGGGTTGCCCTGACCCAGCTGCATCACCGTGCACATGGCCTTGTTGAACCTCATGAGGTTCATGTGGGCCCACACACATGATGTCGGGGCTCCATATAGCGATACTGGGGAAAAATACCCAAGAATCCTGTCAGGGAATGGGAATTAATTGACAGCTTTGTGCAACTAACGATGGGGACCCTATTGCAAAGCACTCAGGATTTAGGAGCAGAGGAGCAGTTCCAGCAGGAAGAGAGAGAAGTCTCCCAGAAGGAAACAAATCACAATGCAGAGGAAGAGCACTGTTTTAACAGGTGTTACTGAATAGCTGTTCAGAGGGACTCACACCCACATGCACACAAAAATTTGCTTATTTGTCTCCATGGCTGGACTCTGCTTCTGCATTGCCACATTCTTATCATTTTGTCCCTTCTAGAAAATGAACTCTGCTGTTTCTTAGAGCACTTCAGGATACTGTAGAACTATCTGAGAATGGTATAGGAGTTTAACTTTGACATAAATTTGTAAAGATGTTTTATGGAAGAGTTTTTGAAGAGAACTTGTTACTATCATATCTCTGAAGGATAATCTCTGAAGGATATGAAAAGGATACAGTTCTTTTTTAAAGATTTGAATAAATGCTTTGCAGCATAAATTTGACACAGTTGAAATATACAAGCAAATAAAATACACTTGTTACGAAATTTAAGTGTATGTGAAGAAACAAGTCATGTTAGTTTCAACCTTTCTTTCTGTTCTTTGTCATCTAACTATGAAAAACATTAGTATTCTCAATGGCACATGAATCCTTGTGCTTTTGAACATGGACATCATTTGTGACTATTCATTGGTCACAGCTGAACTTGATCAGCAAACATACTCTGGGGACTCTTTTCTTTGGCTCTTCATGGATATCATTGCTGGATTTTTTCCTAATTGAATGCTAGGGTTTTTTTCTTCCAGAGTAAAGGAAAGAAAGGAACATTCACCTAGGTGCCTGTTCTCCAAATAAATGTTAAGTGGCATTGCTGGCGTGCTAACATGACGTTCCGAAGGTATTGTGAGAATCTGACTGTTGTGCTCTTGGTTTTTTTGAGGGCCTTCTCTTCAGAGAAGGACCTGCAAAATTTTCCGCTGTTACATGAGTTGCCTTTTATTGTAAGACACATACATAAAGGGTATTTATTGGGAAATGACTCTGACCAGTATTACTGTTTCAAATGCCACTAAAACAGGAATGGTTGTACATTATGTTCAGAAAAAAATTGGTTGACGTATTTATTTATGTACTCTGAAGCTGTAAGAGCTCTTGTAGCATGTCTTGTCTGTGGTGCATATGAGCACTCCTTTCTACAAATAAACCCAGGCTTCTCCTAGGAGAAGGATAGTAGCAGAGAGCATTAGGCAGATACCCTCCAAATAACGTCATCAACGTTATTTTCACAGCACTCATCCACGTCATTTAAAATTAATGTTCATTCGAAATAATGTAGACCCATTAAAAAGATTGTGCTGAAGCAGATAGACTCTTCTTCTCACCAAGAGAGGAAGGAAGAAAAGAGCTTTGCTTTGTGGACTGTAGTGCCTGTCACAGTGTTGATAAAACACCCTGAAGTATTCAGAACACTAGTAGTGCATAGACCCATTAGAGTGTAGCAGCACTTGGTTCTTCTCTTCCGTCTGATAGTAGGGAATAATTAAGTTTGGAATACGTCACTCTGCGTTTGATCTTCTGGTTGTGGGAAGCTGATGAACAATTTGTGTGATCAGCGTTACTTCTAAAAACCGAGTTTCTTACATATGTTAATTGAGACAGTGGATTTTTTTGAATGTATGCTCTGGAAATACTTGCATGGTCCAGTGACTTTTCAAAGTAGAAAATGTGGTGGAAAATTAGCCTTTTGGAGAATGTAGTACTGTTATTTGCAGCAAAGTTTATTGTGAAAGCAAGGATGCTAAGCCCTGTTCTTTTCTTTGAATGCTGTTAAATATAAAGCTTTTTAAACCTAACATGTACACTAAATGCACTTGTGGAGTTTAATCTGTTCTGTTTGCTACTGCTAGAATTTTTTTAAACTTTTGAAAATTCTTTGACATTCAAGTAAAAGAAAATAACCTTTTCCTTTTTACCACAGATCCAGACATTTAATGTTGAGGCACCATGCCAGACCGTGGAAGATTTAACGAGTGGGGTTGTGATGGCCCAGGTCCTTCAAAAAATGTAAGGAATTGTTTACTTAATGAACTAAGTTTTATTATTCGTACATTTTTCTGTATTTACATGTGTTTTAGTTCAGTCTTGGCTGGTATTCCATAAGGATGTGGCTTTTCCTATGCTTAGATGGTACTTGAAACTGGAACATGACTAATGTGATTTTTCTCTGTAGTTTTCAGATAACTAGCTTAAATGAAAAAAAAAAGCTTTGTTTTAGGGAGATGTTTATTCGAGGTGAACTTAGTGAAAATAAGTTGGATTAAAACAAAACTTACAGATTCACACTTAAAGTTGAAACCAGTGCAAGCTGAGGTAACTGGCCCTGATCATTGCTTGAAACTGCAGTCAGTGATGTTAGAATTAGTTTCATGCAATAAAACTTCTGTGATAAACTGAATGGAACTGTCAGTTTAGTGATGCACAGTTGGAAGTACTTGTCTTTCAGTTTGTTTCCACTACCTCTTGCCTGTTCACTGGACACCACTGAGATTATGTGACGGTATAAAGAAGGAGCCATCAGGCTATTTATACACAGGATTGGTAAGATCCTACTGAGCCTTCTCTTCTTGAGGCTAAAAAAACAGAACAGCTCACTCAGTCTCACCTTGTATGACAGATCCTGCAGTCTGTTAATCATCTTATTTGCCCTTTGCTGAACTTCTTTGTATGTCCAGGTCCCTCTCATACTGGAGAACCCAGGATGCAACACTTCAGATGTAGTCTTACCAGACCTGAGTAGTGCCTCCCTTGGCCTGCTGCCAATGATCTTCCCAACACAGCCCAGGTTGTCGTTGGCCTTCTTGGCTACAAGGACATGTTGCTGGAGTGTTTTCAGCTTGGTTTCTACCCAGCTTCTTGTTTGCAAAGCTGCTTTCCAGCCAGTTGGCCCCCAGCATATACTGGTGTATGGTGTTTATTTGCATGTACCTTTGTGAAATGTGTAAGGTTTCTGTCAGCCTGTTTTTCCAGCTCGTCACATTCCTCCTAAATGGCAGCACAACTATCAGGTGTATCAAACACTCCTTCCGTTTTTACACTGTATGACAAATTTCCCTCTGTTCCATCATCTGGGTCCCTATTAAAAACATTTAACGGTATCAACCCCTTGGGTAGGCTGCTAATAGCCTGGGCTCCAGCTGGATTTCATGCTTCTGCTCATAAACCTTTGAGCCTGGCATTTCAGCCATTTTTCAGCCCACCTTGCTATGCACTTACCCAAGTTGTGCTTCATCAGTTTGTCCAGGATGATGTTATCCTGCTCAGGCAATCTGTAGCAGGAATATATAACAGTGTGACTTATCTTGGTCTGCTTGATCATCCTGACCCATAATTTCTTAGCTGGCTCATATCCATCTGAAGACAGAGCTCATGCATTCCCACTGCTCTCTCGCATGAAGGGCATCTCCCTTGTCACTGCCTTCTCAGCTTGTTCTTCCTAAAGAGCCTGTATGCATTCGTGGCAGCAGCCTTGTCATGGGAGCCATCCTACCATGTCTTCATGATCCCAGTGAGACTGTGGCCTTGTAACTACATGCAGAGCTCTGTTTCTTCCTGTTTGTTCTCCATGCTGCATGCATTAGTGCACAAGCACTCCACGTAAGCATCCAGTCTTGCTGAGTCCCAAGAATGAAGCTTTCCCTGGAGTGTTTTTCTGTAGGCCTTTCCTCATTTATGTGCATATGCTTGGGGTGATCCCTCTTCACCCAGCCCTGTTTTGTTGACTGTGAGGTATCTCTTGTTCACATTGTCCCACATTCTTTGTTTTTCAACAGAGTCCACTACTTTGTCACTAAATGTTCCTTTCTCTATTTTTCCTTCTACAAAACTGGTCTAACCAGGTTGGCCAGCCTGTTGGTGAAGATGCATTTGCCCACCACAGTCAGGTGGATCCTATCTCTTCAAAGCAGTCCTTGATTCTCAAAATGATTCAGTGGCCATCGAAACTAAAACCTTGCCAACACCAGTTCACAGCTGGTTGTTGACCTGCAGGATGTGTCTGTTCCTCAGAACCCTCTCACTAACTGATGCAGCTGGGAAGAACATCAGTTGAGCCTTTGCCATAGCTTCGAAAGCCACATAATCACACTGTACTTTCCAGGTTTCCATAGCTGTACAGCTTGTGCCAAGATGGAAGAGCAGGAAGAGTAATTGTGTAAGAGCTGGACAAGCTTTGGCAGTCTTTCAACAATGCCAGGAATTCAAACCCCTAGCAAGCAGCAACCCTTCTTAGATGGTGTTAGTCAGAAGATCAGGGTCCTCCATTGTGCTAACTCTTGCCACTCCCCTCTTGTGTTGCAGCACGGCTCAGGTTTGGTGGACGCAGATGGTTTGTTTGACAGAGCTCCTGACACTGTAACTGCTGTGAGGACACTGAATCTGTTCTGTAGGTTCAGATCCTCAGGAGCAGGAGCCTTACTGCTGGTGAGAGAAGTTCACAGGAAGGATAAAAGAGGGACAAGAGGAAGTCTCCATGTAGTCAGATATTTCAAAGCAACACTTTTAAGCATGTGGTTCTGAGATAGTGTTTTCAATTGATGAAGTGATGTTTCAAAAACAGATGTAAAATACAAATATTGCATTTCTGTAGCATGATTTTAAAATATTTCCTATGACAACTGCGGTACTGCCACTGAACACAGAAATTCTTTACTTTGCCCAGTTTATATAGTAAAGATCACCTAAACAATTTATAATTCTTTCTTTATGCCTTAGGTAATGATTTGAACCTGACAAAATTAGTGTTTGACTATCTTACTTTCTAATAGTTGTGTTTTAGATTTAACATTTTGCTTACTTGTGTAATGGATACGGAGGATCTCATGCAGCAATTTAGCAACAAATATTGCTAAATCTTGATTTAATTCTTGTTGAGATAAACTTTGAAGAGCAACAGCAATCTGATCTTGGATTGTACAAGAGAAATCACAGAATATGGTGAGTTGGAAGGGACTCACAGGGATCATCGAGTCCAAAAATGATGGCCCGAAAGAATACCCCAAGAGTCACACCATGTGCCTGAGAGTATCATCCAAATGCTTCTTGAACTCTGTCAGCCTTGGTGCTGTGCCCACTGCCCTGGGGAGCCTGTTCAGTGCCCAACCACTCTCTGGGTGAAGAACCTTTTTCTAATATCCAACCTAAACTTCCTCTGACAGAACCTCAGGCCATTCCCTCAGGTCCTGTCACTGGTCACCACAGAGAAGAGATCAGTGCCTGCCCCTCCTCTTCCCCTCCCAAGGAAGTTGTAACTGCAATGAGCTCTCCCCTCAGTCTCCTCTTCTCCAGCTGAACACACCAAGTGCCCTCAGCTGCTCCTCACACGGCTTCCCCTCAAGACCCTTCATCATCTTCATTGCCCTTCTTTGGACACTCTCTAACAGCTTCATATCCTTCCTGTATTGTGGTGCCCTAAACTGCCACAATATTCCAGGTCAGGCCGCCCCAGGTCAGAGCAGAGCAGGACAATCCCCTCCCTGGCCTGGCTGGTGATGCTTTGCCTGATGCCCCCAGGACAGGGTTGGCCCTCCTGGCTGCCAGGGCACTGCTGACTCAGACTCAACTTGCCATGACCAGGACCCCCAGGACCCTTTCTGTGGCACTGCTTTCCAGCCTCTCATTCCTCAGTCTGTATGTTAATATATGAACAATCTTTGGGGGAAAGTATTATTGCTGCCTTTTTTTTTTTTTAACCAGAAGAGTAGAAGATACACTTCTTATTACACATTGTTTAACAGCAGATTGGTCTAATTGATTTTTGAAGTAGGGTTGCAGAATAGCCAAACATTGTCTGTTTTCCTGGATGTGAGAGATTGGAATATAGGTCAGATACAGGGATCAGCATTTGTATTGCTGAATAGAAAACTAATCAGGAGCATGTTGACAAAGCCATTTTAAGTATTCCTTCTTTAAAACAAAAACAAATTCAACCCTACCAATGAAATCCTCTTTGTGCTCCTTTGAAAAGATACCACAGGAAGAATGTGTAGGGAATTAGGGAATGTTCAACAATTTGAAGCAAGTCTAGAGCAGGCTTTTGTAGTCTACCCTTCTTTTTATGTAAGGAGCACTGGCAGGTAGAGAAATGTGTAAGAGCAAGACTTAAGGTTATTTGAAAAAGTCATGCAGTGACATTAAATAGCAAAGAAAGGTGCTTTCACAGCCTGAAAGCACCAGATCACTGCAAACCTGTCATTTGCAGTGAAAACTTGAACACTTGTCTTTCACATGAAAATCTGTCAAAAAGGTAATCTTCAAAGGGCAAGTTTATTGTCTTGGCTGCAGACACAAAAGTGAAGTGCTGTTACTTTTATTCCATTGAGGAGGGTAAAGTACTATTTTTGTAATTCATGTTTCTTGGAAATTGGGTGTTTTTCAGTATAGCTGCCTCCTATTTGAGTCTCTTTATCAGTATGTGTTCTTTGAGCCTACTAGTATTAAGAGGTTAATTAGGTAAAGGCTGAAATAACAGATTAATATATCCGGTGAGAATTTAAAAAAAAAAGAAAAAAGTTCATTAGGAATTAAGAAAATATTGTCAATGAAAAAATCAAATTAAGTGAGGCAGAGCAGTGATGAAAATTTAAAGATATTGGGGTGGTCCAGTGATCTGGATGTATTTCCATAGGAGAGTGAGGATAATGTTTGTTCCGGAAAACCTAAAAATTTGAAAGTGAACTGTATTGTTTCTGGTTTTTTTAACCTCTACCTTAATAGGAAGAGTTCACTGGTACTTATGAGGAGAGGAGGTAGTAGTTTATCGTAAGGAACAGTTTTTGAGAGACCCCTAGTTTGGGGAATTTGTTGTTTTAGACATAGAGAAAATGTGCACAATAAAGAACTGTAGGATTTATTGTCAGTAAAATTAAAAAGGAGGAACATTGCTTATTCATCAGCTGATAAAAACTAGCTGTGCCTTGTGCCAAGTGTTCAGAAGGGGCCAAAAGCTTCTTCCATTGTTCTGAATTCTTTTGTACATAGTTCTCAATATTTTTTGGATTCAACCCATTTGTAGGTAAGGACCATTCAATCACAACAAATATATCAGAATTCTTTGTAACAAAGCTGCTGCAAGAAAGGAAGAAAAGGTTGCAGCAGAAATTACTAACCCCTTCAGAAGCTTTTCACTTCTAATGTAGTATGTGGTAGAAAATGGCAGAAATGTGTTCTATGTAACCAAGCATTTTGCTTACAGTCTCAGTTGTTAATAAAGTTATTGGTAAATCCCTGAGGGACATTTTATTTCTTTATAGCATAAACCTTTATCTTCAAATTTCAGGTTAAAGTACCATTGAATGAAATTCTCCAGTGCTGACTATATTGTCTTGGAGGAGGAAAATCAACCTAAGCTTTAGCTTACTTTTTTTTGTGTTATTCTGTAAGATTCACTATTTGTTTGTTTTCAGATGTGAAGGTTATTGGTCCTGACTGGCAGTGGTATGAAATACAGTAAGATAAGATGCCTGTACATAATCAGTGTTGATGATTATTTTACAGAGTGTTGTTGTATTCCAGGAGAAAGATTGGAAGCAAAAGATGTTTAAACTGTCTATGAGTAGACTGTCTACCTAAAATCATGTAGCTTATGCTGGTAGAAGTGCCATAGCTTGCTTCTGAGTTGCATCCTTATTTTCTTTCTTTCTTTTTTTTTTAGCCTTCTCAGGTGTTCTTTATGTTTTTACTGTCCACTGGTATCCCTAGAACAGCATAATTTCCTGTTTTATACTATGTTTTAAAATTTTCCTTTCATCTCACTCTGGAGACTGTTTAGTACCAGGTGTCCCTCTTGTTTTGATTCTCCCTTCCTGTGTCATACTGGCCTTGGTAAATGCAAGAGATGGTATGTATTTTCATCTGTGCATCGTGTCCTCTTAATGAATTATTCATTTGATATATTATACATTGCAGCACACTGTGTATGTTTTGACACATGCAGAACACAAAAGCCATGCTAATACATTATTGCTGGGGGAGGGAATTTTTTGTAAACAGACGTTTCTTGAAGCAGTTTACTGTACCACTGTCAAAATGAGTAATAATCATGAGTTATACTACATGCTCTGTGGGTTGGTTTTCTTCAGAAGAGTATTTCTGTCTCTTGGCATCTGTGATATGGAGAGATGACTGCTTAAATAAAGGAAAATTTGCATACAAAATAAGATGGAGATGGTATAAATGAGCACTGCTGAAAACATCACATGAAGTGATAGAGCATTATCAACAGTGCTCTGAAGAAAAGTCCCAATTATCTACAGTACTATTCAGATACTAGGCAGTAATCAACTGATACACAAATACCTTTCTAAACCTGAAAAGTTATCCAGTGCAAGAGATTGTCTAAGTTTGGATCTAGGCTCAGGAACTTATTGAATTCAAAATACTTGGTTCATGAACGAGTCATCTCCTGGTAATGGTGATGTTCCATCCACTGCCCTTGTTTAGTGCAGTGATTCTTCAAAATGAGATGGCAGGTTTAGCTGTGCAGTTCTCAACACACATTTTTTGTATTTCCTTAGGTGATGCTTTTTCAAACACCATAAGAATGACACTGTTGTTTTCTAATGACGCAGACTAAGGCAGTTAAAAAATTCTGAATATGATTGAATCGTGATTCCCAAAAATTTAGCAGAGGAAAACTTGTTTGCAGCAAGGACTGTGAATGACCTAACATCTAGAAGCCCCTTTTAAGAAGTATGTGTAGAAATCCTTGTGGAATAGCTTTTATTTCAGATTTGATTTCCAATAGTTTGATATATAGAGAAAGCATTTCTGTTGGTATTAATCATGAACTTTAATTGGACTTTCGAAGACAGAAATGAAATTATAAGGGCAGGTGATTTATTTGAAGGAAAGAATGATCTCTGGATTTTCTTGGTGTTGATACCCAACCTGTTGCTTATCTGCTTATTGTATTCCTGGCAAAGTGTTTTTCCAGTATGCAACTAATTATTGTGTAACCTGTATGAAGATTCTCTAAGGGCAGTTTTTGGTGCTATTTTGACAACTGTTATATGGGCATGATTTTGAATGGGTTGCCTGTGAGCTGCTGGACCCTTGGCTGCTTCCATGAGATTTGTATACATAAAAGTAAAAAAACCAATAGGATCTGTGGAAGAGGACTGCCACACTGAGCTTAGATTTAATTCTCAGGGACCTTCCTTACGTATGTCTAATGACATATATAAAGGTTTAGGTAGCCTATGACTCCCATCAAGACTGTAAAAGGTGTTTGCTGATCCATGTGTTATTTTTACAGTAGTAACTGAGAAAAACTGCCTGTTTTCTTTTCCTGAGGCTTCCTGAGTAAAGTGAGTTAGTTCTAACCCTGAAATTAACAGCTGATGCTGTTATTGATGCCCTTATTGTTGTAAATTGGGTATGCAATATCAGCTGTCCAGTCAGTCCAAATATAATTTTCCTTGTGAGAGATATTGTTTATGCTTAGCCATGTTGCTTCTTAGAGTCATTATTTAGCATGAAAATGGTAAGTCAATTTTCATGGCACTGTGGCCTTGAAGTAGCTGGAGATGTAAGTGATCAAGTGCACACAAATGAAGCTATGCCATCAACAGGGTGCAAGGTCTTAGAAAAATGAGTAGTAATAGGATTCTGAACTACTCTACTCAGGCAACGTGTCAGACAGAAGAGGTAGTCATTTAAATGACCTCAAGCCTGAGATTGGGGCTTAATGACTAAGGTGTACTCACAGTTTCTCTAACCTGTTTTTAATGAATACTCTACACTCTTTGTGTTTCAGAGACCCTGCTTACTTCGATGAAAATTGGCTGAACAGAATCAAAACAGAAGTAGGAGATAATTGGAGGCTGAAGGTATTTGAATTACTTTGCTTGTCTGCGAATTTCTATTTCAGTTCTTAATACAGTATTGTGCCTAAACACTGGCATATTTCCAGATTAGGACCTTGCTTTATAGTACATAATTTTGAATTTTCAACTGTTTTAGTTACACTTATTTGATTTTAAATTTCTTATGTTGTTTTAGTACTGCACAGTTTAGCAAAGAAAAGACATTTTGAACTTGTAAATAGGTTTCAATGATTTAAAAGGAAAATATTAAAACAAATTTTATGCATCAATTACCTCTCTTGTTTTTCAGATGTTGAACGAAAGATTTTTCTTTTTAATGCACAGTGTGAAAGTAGCTTTAAAAAAGGAGCTCTGAGAAGCAGCTGCATAAAAAGAGGAGCATAATAAGCAATATATTTAAAGAAAAATGGCAAAGTGTTTCTTCCTTTTACTTTTTCAGTTCTGCGGAACTGCTGAGCTTTAGGAGAGGAAGTTGCGTTTCTTCTGTGTTTCTACTCAGCATGGTTTTCCACCACAGTCTTTTTGCTGGGTCATTTGTATCACTTGGCATTCTAGTACTTTCTCTGCAAACCTTAAGGCAATCAAGTTTCCAGTTCTATGACTGAGGAACATTTTGCTTTAGAACCCAAAGAACACAGTTGTACATGCAGATGGCAGTGTAGTTTCTGAGTACTTTTGTTCAGAGAGTGATCTATGCACCTTTCTGAATTTCCATTTTTAGCCTGACTAGTTGGGAGAACAGAGCAGTTATGGTTTGGCTGTTAGTTCATGTTTCCTGTGTTCCAGCTACCAAAAACCATTCTGAGCATCTCAGGAATGGCTACAGCTGTGAAAAGCTTTAGTACTTGCAGGCTTGTCAGCATCACTGGCTGAATTGCCTGAGACAAAGATGGAGCACGCTGCTGCTGTGTATGTTTTGATTTAGTCAGTAGACCTATCGGCATGGTCTGTGCTGTCTGGCCAGCTGTGTGCAAGTCTGGAATGCTTTAGAATGTTTTGTCTAGTAGGGCTGCCAGCAAAAATGTGGGTAAATTGATGAGGATATATTGACTGACTGATGAATAAAGGACATCATCCTTAAAAAAGCTTTAAAACTCTTTTGAGTTCTGCTGCATGTAGAGCAGTTAATTTAAATGACCTTTCCAAAGAAGTGTATGGAATTGCAAGTGAACGGCTGGATACAAGATTTTACTTTTCTGTAAAATATTTCTTTGGGGTTTTTTTCTAAGTATTAATTTTTTAAGTATTTCATATTGAAGTCTTCACTGTTAAATGCGGAGAACAACAAATTGAGAACTGTTTGTTATAATAGCATTTCAGCTGATTGAAAGCAGAGCAGCAGCTTCTGTAGCTGTCATATGGAGCTTGAGGAATAAATATTTTTTTATGTCTCCCACCAATTTGGCAGATGCAAGGCTTAGCAGGTGTGAAAAAAAAAAAAAAGCTGAGCAATCTAGTAACTTCCTTATGTGACTGACAGTGGAAAAACATCGGGTCAAATTTCAGTTTCTTTCTGATGTCATTCCATCTTGTTTTTCATGTACCTATGTAAACAAGAACTAAAGACTTATTATTTTTTTGTTTAAAAAGGATGTATAATCCAGCTTTTTGTACAGCACTTCCCTTTTCATGAAGAATACTAGAAGACATAAGTGTGATACTTTAACTCTTATTTTTTTAACCAGAAGAGTAATCCTATAGTTTGCCAAGTGTTCTTCTTTATATGTGAGTAAACATTATTAGTAGATGTCTATCAACCAATCAGTCATTTATAGTCTGGCTTGTGGGAACACTTCAGTCTGTGCATTTCTATTCATAGAATCATTTAGGCTGGAAAAGACTTTTAAGATCATCAAGTCCAACTGTTAACTCAGCACTGCCAAGTCCACCACTGAACCATGTCCCCAAGTGGCACATCTACACATCTAAATACCTCCGAGGACAGTGGCTCCACCACTTCCTTGGGCAGGCTGCTCCAGTGCTACATAACCTTTTTGGTGAAGGATTTTTTCCTAATAGCCCATCTAAACTTCCCCTTGTACAACTTGAGGCCATTTCCTCTTGTCCTGTCACTTGCTAATTGGGAGAAGACTGACCCCCCCCACACGTCACTGCAGCCTTCTTTTAGGCGTGTGTTTGTTACTAGATTTAACATGTAGGCAGCATACTTGAATGACTCCATGTTGTAGATTTCCTTTCATGTTTTAAGAAGTGCCATGAGAATTGATAACTGGATTACCTCACTGCCTCACAAGTCGTGATAATGACTGCATTATATTCCTTTTGCTGAACACAGTCACTCTCTGCCTCTGACACCATATGGTATAATAATCACCACATGTACAAGCCCTCAGTGAAGGAACCAGTCTGGGAGGGGAACATATATAAAAACAATCCAAAATTTAACGTGCAGGTAGTTCTGCTTTGTGAAACTCTGGTTAGGAGAGCCTGCAGAGGTAAGTGTAGGCCTGATACAGCCCTCCTAATCACTGTTGATAGAAGTACTCAGAAAATGATAGAATCATAGACTTATTAAGCCTTGGAAAAGACATTTATGATCAAATCTAACTGTCAACCTAGTGCCACTACCATGTTCACCATTACAATGTGTCCCCAAATGCAATATCTGCGTATTTTTTGAACACTTCCAGGGATGGTGACTCCACCACTTGGCTGAGCTGTCTGTTCCAATGTTCTACAACACTTTCCATGAAAGTTTTTTCCTAATATTTAATCCAAAATTCCCTGGCACAACATTAGGCTATTTCCTCTTGTCCTGTCCTGTCCTGTCACTTGTTACCTGGGAGAAGGTAATCGGTGATGTGATTATTAATTTTAAATTGTGTGTTGTCCTGTATGGAGAATAACAAGAATATATGGCTCAGCTTTCATTATTTTTTTTGTTTAGCAGTTCATTTTCTGATAACTGCAATAATGTGGTCATTAAAAATATTTTTCCTGTTGCTGTACCAGTTTAAAAGAAATGGATAAATTCACAAGGATCTTTTTATGTTCTTGGTTTCAGGGCAAGTTGCCAGACTTGAGAGATTGAGAAATGCACAGGATAGAAAAAGGGAAATGTTAGAACTCAGTGGACTTGCAAAGTAGGAACCATTCAGCAAACATTCTAGTTTTTACAGCTGACCAGTGTTTAGTAGAGAAACGTGTTACTTCTTCAGGGTTGCATACATCAGCACGCAGAACAGTTTGTGTCTTCCTTTGGGCAACAAAGAAACTTACTTGTCATCTGCAATTTTATGATGGTTAAAAAAATAAAAGGCAAACCCATTATCTCTTTCATTATGTACAACTGAATGCTTTAGTATAGTCAGAGTTTAAATTGTGTACGACCTAGCATTTCATGCTGAAGAAGATGACATCTTGAACATAAAACCTTTATTGAAAATGGAAGACAGCACAGAAAGGAATTCTGTTGCTAAAATTTTCCAGGAATGAAATTCCTTAACCAAGGTACAAGTTATTGATTTGATACACACATGTCAGTTTTGGCAATTACAGAATAAACTGTTGACTGTCTGAGGTATGGGATAAAATTGTCACCCCTTTTTTTCCTCCCCTTCTATTCAGTGTGGGAAGCTTGGGAAAGGAAGGAAATATATTATTTCCTTGATTTTTGACTTCTGGACTTTTTGCTTTGGCATTCAGACTACAGCATCAGTTTAAAGTACAATTTTATTGATGTATATAGTAGCAAGCTGTGTTTGTTCCAGGTCTGAATAGCACGTTCAAACAGCAGGAGCCACTAGACTTTCTGCAACTAGTACAGTTTGAGTGATACCTGTTTGGTATAATATTGCAAAATGGAATAACCAATGAATGCTGCAATCTAAGTAAACAAACATGATTTTTGAGAATTAATTTTGACTCCCTGCAATAGTACAGTTGTTTTTGCTCTGAATTCTTCTACAGTACAAGCTGGCTTGACTGGTGGAGTAGTGGAAGCTAGTTTTCAGTGTACAGCATTGTTTTGCTACTACTTTCTTGTTCTTTTGCAGGGTAAGGAGCACTTATTCATCAGCATCCTTTTAAAGGGTTTTTATCTGTTATGGGTGGAAGCCTGTCATGTGAATGTTTTTTTTTCTTCAAGCAATAAGCAGAGATTATAGGTGTATTGTAAGCCAGCATTCATTTCTGTCACAAAGATAATTAGCGACTGATATATTTAATTGTCTTTTGATATATCCTTAATTCCTAAGTCAACAGTATCTCCAAATATAAGTTGCACGTGGGACTGCTGTCTGTGGTTCAGACCCGCATTTAATTTTTCTTTCCTTGTCAAGGATGTGGCTGTATATGTTCTTTTGGGGATTTTCTTTCTGTAGAAGACAGTCTGAAGGGGGATAGCCCCCAAAGCTAGTGATATAGTCTTTCTCTAAGTTCAATCTGTAATCAGCAATGAGACATGCTTCTGCAAAATGCAGTATAAGTCAGAAACCTAATGTGTGTGGTGGGAACGATGCAAACGATGCATGCACAGGCTCCCTCCCCACCCACACTCCCACACCCACCTATCCCTTCTCACCCCTCACCCCCCTTTTAAGTGCAGATGGGAAGAATGCACCTTAATGAGATATCTGAATTCTTGAAACGCTTGAGAGTGTGCCATAGCAACACTTCCAGAGGTTACTCAGGATCTGAAATAAACAAAGTCAATTCACACAGGGTCTTCAGCACAAACAGGATTTCAGTCATACTAAGAATAATGCAAAATTGGGGGCTGGCTGTTATAATGTTGGAGAAAAAACAAAAGGCTAGATAACCCATGTCCCCTTTTTGTCAACCATCACAAGCTTAAGGGCATTTTCTGCTGTCCACTTCATCAGGCTTTCCCTTCGTTACACAACTAAATTCATAAAGAGAGAAATCTAGACAGACCTGAGGTTGGAAACAGAGAGTAAATTGTAACTAAATAAATAGAGATTTCATATGACAGGTTTTCATAAAAGGATTTCATAAAAGAAAAATAGGAGAGAAAAAGACCAAACATTGGGTTGAATGGTGTTGCCAGATCACATCATCCCTGCATTCATTCCAGTCAGTTTATCGGGTTAATGCTGTGTTCTAAGGGTCAATCTCATACTGAAAGCTGTGTGCTGAGTATGTAGTACTATACTATAGCCAGATGGCTACTGCCTGAGAGGGTAGTGATAATTGAACATGGAGAACACTCACACAGCTCTGCTGTGGATATTAGTGAAATTTAAGTGTCCAAAGAAGGATTGAGAACATGCAGGTTGCCTTTGTGGATGCAATAGCTCCCGCCCTTTGTGAAAGGAGATTGGGGAAATAAAACAGAAAGGGCAGATGGAAAAAGAGATTGAAAATGGAGAGAGATTTGTCTAGAAACACCTAATGGTCCATCTGTTGTGAGCTGCAACAGCTTTTGAGCATAGTTGTGACTTTTTTTTACCCCAGGAAGTTTCATGTGTTTTCCAACAGAGGTATGGATGCAGGGAATGGATGTTAAAAGGGATTGGGAGGGTAGTGTATGTGCTTTGTATGGAAAAGGAGGAAGTCACATTGCTGATGCAAGCAAACAGCCATCCCATGTAGTCGTGGGCTAATGTCCAAAGGATGATATGGCACTTAATAGTCATGGTTGATATTTGAAATTCTATCTATTGTGTTCTGTCATTACATAATTTAATGGTCTTCATTAACTAGAGTTAGGTTTTCCCCATGTGCTTAAGAAAGAGAAAAGTAATTCTGAGCAACCATCACCTGCTGTGATTTAGATTTCCGATCTAATTGGTTGTCTTTTACACTTTCTCAGGCTGTTCATTTTCATTCAGCTGCTTACAGTCTGCCTTCCTTGTGCTATGACCTCAGAAATGTTAGTGGAGCTGCTGAGTTGAATCTCAAAGTACAAAACATTGGTGATAGTTTCTCTGTGATGATTCTCTGCTGGTGGCAGTAGAACCATTCTAAGTATATTCACTGCAAATGAGTTAAAAAAAAAAGCTGAGAGCCCTCTGAGTAATACTGAAAATCATTGTTAAGTTTAAGTCAGTCTATAAAGAAACTGCTTTACCCTCACAGTTGACTGATTACGTGCCAGATATAAAGATGGTACAGTTAATTCTTGAAAGCAAGTTACTAATACTGTTGGTTGACAGTGGAATAAAATAGGATTGCAAAGTCAAGATTTCTTTTTGATTTTGTTTGTTGTTCTCTTTTTCCAAGGATTCTGCCCTGTGTGCTAGTTTTTGTGACAGATTTTGATCAATATTGGTTTTGTTCCAGTATCTCAACTCTAAGCTTTATGAAGGTTATATAGATGAAGATGACTCTTTGTGTTTAAGGGCTTTTACTTAAAAAATGCTTACAAGGAAAGGGGAAATGAAGTATTTCATAGGTGGATACTTTCCTTTTTGTTTCTCATTTTTTTGGGATTATGTTCAAGTTCAAGGTTCCTCACAATGTTCTCATCGGTAAACTGGACTTAAATTCTGCAACATGGCCTTTGCGTTTCTGTGGCTCTTTCTGCAGCAGACTCAGGTAAATTACAAACTGGAAGATTTCAATGAATCAAGTTTGAAAATTATGTTCCAATCAGCGCAGTATTCTTTGTGGTGATTTGACATAAAAATAAAATTTCTTAATTTCTTTAAATTCTTAAATCTGTTGCAGACTTTGGTTATGATTGTGCATTGCATTTGAGTGGTGGTGGTGGTTGCTTTTGGGCAGATAGCTAAGAGATAGTTGTAGCTCTTACAGAAACATGCTGGGTAGTGCAGAAAAAGTGTATGTTCCAGAGTAGAGGGTGTAAACTAATTATTATGCTGTTATGGGAGGGACAGTAAATGTTGTTATATACTTACTATAAAGTAGCATCTCCAGTTCTCATTCTAGGTTGTCAGGGTATTTGATGTGTCGCTTTTCAAGTCCAAATGAGTTTTTGTTTCTTGCGTCACTTAAAATTCAGTGATTTTGAAGACAAAAATGTTCTTACATCTTAATAAGGGATCAGTTTCTGGTGCTTCTTTCCAAAGGGGAGCGGATTAATAGGAGTAAGGTAATCAGATGTTATCACTGTGGATCTCATGGCAAAAATCTTTTAGTGTGTGTATGTAGTCTGTTCCTTTCTTGAGTTTGGATTTTGCTTTCATCACCTCGTTTTGTCTGTTGACTGTGTTGAAGTGTTGAGTTTGTCCCTGGATTTCAGTATCATGTTTCCTAACAGTGCTTCATCATATCGTTTGAAAGGTAAATGACTTCTGTCAGTGGACAGAATCTCGTAATTGAGTATTTCTGGAATGCAATCAAGAGTCTAAAAGTTATTGTGGGCTTCAAAGACAGTTGGAACTTGAGAGGTTTTGCTCTCCCTTCGTTATAGTTTCAGTTTGCTGCTGTGGCTACTGCAGTCAGCAGCAGACCTTTGTGAGTCCTATTTCAATCACTTTCATTCTCTGCAGATCCTGTTTAGACTTCATGGAGTCATAGGATCATTTAGACCAGAAAAGATCCTTAAGATCATAGAATCAAACCATAAACCCAACCCTACCAAGGCCACCAATAAGCCATGTCCCAACGCACCATATCTATGCATCTCATTCACACCTCTTTGCACACCCCAGGGATGGTGACTCAGTCGCTTCCCTGGGCAGCCTATTCCGATGCTTGATAACTCTTTTTGGTGAAAATATGCTTCCTAATACCCAATCTATACCTGCCCTGGCACAACTTGACAAACTCCCTAGATACAACATCCTTTCAAGTAGCTGCAGAAGGTGATAAAGTCACCCCTAAGCTTCCTTTTCTCCAAGCTAAACAACCCCAGCTCCCTCAACTGCTCCTCCATCCCAGGAAACAGTGCACTCCTACTATTATCTGAATTCTTTGCCTAAATACTTGACCATAAATTGGTGGTAATCTGTTGAAGTTACTTTCAGTAAAGTAACTTTCAGCTTTTTTTTGGTCTAAATTTCACCTACGAGACCCACTGGGCATCTTTATAATTTTAAACACACCCTTTATTCTCAGAGGCGTGATGCAAATGGGTTTTTGGAAAGGGAGCAGTATTCAGTACTAGGGAAATGTGGCATAGATTCTGTACAGCAGGAGACACTTAACTGGTGCTGTTGGTTATGCAAGTGAACAGAAGCTACCTTTGTATAGCAGTGAAGTCATCACTGAGAAATGTGAATTTTGCCTTGATACTGTAAGACAGACATTCAATTGTAAGAACTGAGAGGGGGGTGGGGAGGGAATGACAAGAATAAAAATGAAAGAACTAAGAGGAATAATTATTGAGAAAGATAACAATTTAAATTTACATTGGTTGGGAATAAAGGAGAATATTGAGCAATAGCTGGTTTTGGTTTGGAAGAAGAGGTTTACCTCTACAGAGAGTGGATTACTAGGATACTTCAAGAGAAGAAAGGAGGAAAAGAATGCTTCAACTTCTGGATACAAAGATAATCCTAAGATAAACAAGTGCTCAAAAAAAATTTGTGCTTTAAAATTTGATCTAAAGCCTATCCAAGACAATGTGATCTTTTTCATAGATAGAAATGGATTCTTTCAATTAATAAAGATTTTTGATCCTGTCTGGAAGTCTGATCATAAGAGACTATTGCATAAATTTCATGATTATGTAATTATATGCTTCTTTTGTGTGATTCCTCTGTGATTACTTACTTTAAGATCATTTCTCTGTAATTTATCTCCTGTATTTATTGTATTTCCTCCTTCTTGTCAAATAGGTAAGCAACCTGAAGAAAATTTTGAAAGGAATATTGGATTACAATCATGAGGTAAGAATGGTTTTAAATAATCTACATCTACATACCTTTATAGTTACATATTTTAGTTAACCGGTTGAATATAAATTGTATTCTACAAGTGAAGTACTGATGTTTTCTTGGCATAGATAGTGATTCATGGCCTGTTCTCCAGTCTTAGCCTTCTCTAAAACTTCTCACCTGTTTTATTGACTACTCAGAGGTCCCAGGGAAGCCTGATGTGCAAATTCTGTCATACAAACATTAGATGGCCTTACTGAGTATGTTCTGGTCATGGACTTCAACAGCACCTGTGTTTGATTTTTGTTTTTTCCCCTCCTCCTCTGCAGTTAAAGTCTACCTTTTCCCTTATTTTTCTCGTAAGGAGAGAGAGTAAAGCGTTTCTTGCCTCTCCCCACATTAAGATTTTATATGAAATATTTTAATTCTGGAATATTGGAGTCACCCCGTGGCATTTTCTCTTATTCTGAGAAAACTCAGAAATTAACCATTACAGAGGAGTCAGAATACAGTATTTTTTCCAGTGGTGAATCTTCAGCTGAAATATGTTTTCAGTTTCAGTGATGTTTTGAGGCAAATTGATCTGTACAGGCTGCAGCACAAAATCTATGCTTGTCTCAAAATATTAACTTCTCATAAATACTTCAGAGATTAAGTTATTTGTTAATAAACTGAAGTCTTTCAGAAAAAAAGTTAGACTTATGAGCCATTCAGCAAGTGGTTAGATGTCCATGTTGAAATAAATGTTGAAAATCGGTGGTTAGGCAAGCTGGTCATAACTGGAAATACCAAAAAGAAACATTGGGGTTTTGTTATGGAAAATTAATATTACTAAGACAAAGTGATGCAAGCTTCTTTTTGACTGGTTAGTATATATGATGATTAAGTCTCTGGTGTGAAAACTTTACTACTAGGCAAGTTCTGAGCTGTTTCAAGCTGACTAACTTCTGCAAAGGTAATGCACATTTATAAGTCTGACTGGAATTTGGTTTAGTTTCTTTTTTTTTTCTGCTGAGGGAGGCGATGCTGGTGGTGATAGTTGAGATGACAGGATTCTACTATGAATCCTGCTTATGTTTTCCTCAATCTGATTCCTTCTCCTAGAGCCACCTTGTACTAAAATATAGGTGTGATTGCATGTGGATTTTACCTGATGTAGCTAAAAGACTTTGAAAAATGTATATGCTAACATTTTCCCTTCTCCAGAATTCAGAAATTTGTGTTGTGTTCAGGAGGACAGTCTTTCAATAGCTATGTTACATTGCTGTCTTTATCAATTATACTATGGAAGAACAAGAAGCCAAAGTTAACTATTTATAGCTCGCATGCTTTGTTATGCCCCACTAATCTTGCTGCAGAATTCTACTCCTCTGGAACTGAAATTTTTAAAATTTTTTTGTAAAGATATTTACTTAGTTTTTAAAGGTATTTCGTAACATTTTGAAAAAGGGTTAAATGCTCTTTTTCATCTCAAAATAGTTACTGCAAAGTCTATCCTCCATTTTCGTATTTCTTTCAGGTTTGTTTTTTTTTTCCAACAGGAATGAATCTGGGTCCTTTAAAGTAGACAGATATTTTTAGCAGTGTTGAAACTAATTCTTTGAGAAAACTGTTTAAAAAATTCCACAACACAAAAAGCACCAAACACAACAAGAAAAACTCAACCACAACACTCCCACAAAAACCAACTCTAGAAACTTCTGAGTGCCTTGTTTTCTTTGTGGTCTTCATATACATTACATACTTTTTCTAAATACCTTTACCTAGTTTCTTGTTTTCTCAAGTATTGCACGTAAAGGGCAAGCAGCAAACGACTGATTCCCTCTATAGTCATTGTTTCCTTATTACACCCTGTTTAAGAAGTTAGTTTCTTTTTATCTCCAATTAATGTGTCATAGATGTGTTTTAATTCCAAATTTCATATTCATATTTTCAAGCCTCTCTTCAATAAAGAGCAATTTAGCAGAATTGTTTAATTCCATCTACTGACAATCATTAATGTAGTCGTAATGATAAATCAGATAACACTATTGTGAGTCACATGGGCTTTTGTTTTGTTGGTTTTTTTCTTTCTTTCTGCATGTGGGCTGTTTAATTACATATCATTGTACTACTAACTGAGATTATCTTCCATGGAACATCTCTCTTAGCTGTGAGACTTGCAAGTTATCCTTAAATTTGCTAGAAGTGCAAGGCTTAGTGATCTGAGTTTTTTGCTTATATTTTTCACCTGTCAGTGTTAGACATATGTATTGTATAGGTGAAATATTTAATTTCTTGGCTTTATAGTAGTAAGAAATGTCAGATTTGTGTATAATATTTTATGCTACATGAGGTGTTTTTAGTTGTTGGGTTTTTTTAATGGAGTGCTTTAAAAAAAAATCAATTATCCGTGTGGTGGCCTGCTTTTGTTACCTTCTATCTGAAGAAAAAAAATCTTGCCAAGTGTGTAACTCGTAGTTGCTTATGAGTCGATGCTCATAAGTGTCGTGTTGGTCATGTTTGTCTTCTCCTAAATATTATTTGTGTCAAACAGTATGATTTAATATTTGGATGTTAGGCGATATACTTTGTTTTAAAGGTGGATTTAAAGTAAGAGTGAACTGCTCTTGTTGATTATGAACCATTGTTGTACAAAATGTGTGTGTATGTATATGTGCAGTGATACAGCCATGTAATTACTGGGTCTTTACACAGATTCTGGGGCAACAGATAAATGACTTCACCCTTCCTGATGTTAACCTAATTGGAGAGCATGCTGATGCTGCAGAGCTTGGGAGAATGCTTCAGCTTATTTTGGGATGCGCTGTGAATTGTGAACAGAAGCAAGGTAATAAATTTTAAGAGCATGTTTTCTTGCTTGTTATGTAAATACTTAGAGGAAAAACTCTATTTCCCGTGTTTCTGTCAGAGACAAATGTAGGGTTTTTTTCAGTGGTGACATGATTTTGTCCTACGGGTAGTAACTGTCGTTTTGTTAAAAGCTTCCTTAGTTTTGGAGACTCACACTGTGGAATTGATTTTGCTTCCAACATACATATTTTCAATTTGGGTTTGCTGAGCTGAAAAATCACTCTACAAAGGAAAATTCTGGGGCCTACCTTTTAACCATTTATGAGGTAGATTACGATAGTTAAGAATGGACATATGTGATTGTTGCATTATTCTGTGTGACTCCTGATTTTAGGAATGCATTCCAGTCATTACCTTAACTACACGGGTGAAAGCTTTGCCTGAAGATGTGTCTGGTGTGATCTAGGATGCTGTAGTTTCTGAGAGCAACTGCAAACATTCATTCTAAACACTTAAAACACAAGACATGGTCATATGAATAGAAAATACATGTTTGGGAAAATAAGACTATTTCTACTGCGTTTACGTTACAGTTGCACCAAATATATGTCTCTTCTGATTTAACTCAATCTGGTTTTGGTGGCAGCCAGGGTTTAAGACCTTTTGTCTTCCTCTTGCTTGATTCATCTTAACTTTTACTGCTAGTTTCCCCTTTCAGTTTTCTCAGGTGACTAAATCACTTTAGTTTCTCCTTCTGAAATTACTTTTGTTCTCTTAAACAGGAGATGGTCTGGCTATCTTATTAATTAAAGTAGAGGGAATGTTATTCCATGAGTATATAAATAACTGGTTTATTAACCCTCCTGTCCTCTCTGTTTTCTGTAAAATTATCTTCCTTCCTTTGGGTGACTATTTGTCACCCTCAGGTGGGAAGTATATCTTATTCTTGTCTGTCCTTTACTCTCTCAGTTTGGATATTAAAAATGTACATGTTTGAAATATCAGAACAGTCTAGTTTTATGTACTTGGAGTGAGATTTGGCATGAGGTAATTAACCAGTTAGAGTTGACTTTTCCCCAGTATCTTTCCCTTAGGCACATCATTGAAAGAATACAGGTCATGTGTAAAGGAGTTCATATCTATCTGGAAACTGCATTATACTGGGCAAGTCATTAACTCCTTGACTTAGTCTAAATGTCAGAATTTGCCCTTCTGACCACTGTATTGTTTCTCAAAGTATCTCATCTGTAACTCACATCTATACATACATAGGTGAGGAGTGAAAAAGTGGAGGGGGACTTAATTTGTGGGATAACACAGGAATAAGAGCAGAAAGCAAGAATGGATGTGAAAATGCTTTGAAATGAGAATGCTGTAGGAAGGCAGGACATTATTGTTAAACTTATGGAAAAGTACAACCTATGCAAGGATTGTGTACCTGAAGAGCCTGACTAGTTTGGGAACAAATGGAGAAAAGGACTGAAAGTAGTTATAACAGAACTGTGAGGTGCCAGAAGGAAAAGATAATTATGTACTTTTTTGGTTGTTGTAGAGTTCAAATAAGCTGGATTTATGTCTGATCAGACTTCTGATAAAATCCTGTTGAGTTTGTTGTGGTGGGACTTGACTGGTGATTATGCATTTCAGTGTCATCCATGGCACCTACTCATTTTGTAGGAAGGATGCAGTTTCTGATCTTCTGTTCTCTGACTTGAATTTTAACCGTGACGTTTCAGAATGCTCTTTTTTTTTTTTTCAGAGTACATCCAGACCATAATGATGATGGAAGAATCAGTTCAACATGTTGTCATGACAGCCATTCAGGAGGTATGCTGGGATGCCCCCAGTGTATGAAAGTTCTGCCTTTTTCAGTATTTTACAACAATATGCTTTTTCCTACTTTGGAAAAACTTAGTTGGAAGTAAAGAAAATAAGGGGTGTAGATTTTGCCTTTTTACAGGGAAAAATATCTTATTTTTTCCTTAGAAAAATCTTGCTTTATGTCAAGGAACTCTGGTTGAATGTCCCACTTTTCTTTAAATCTAGAAGATTGGAACTTCTAGATATTTTTTATATTGGATTCCCTTTCCTTTATCTTTCCCACCCTGTGAATCCTAAAATACACTAGACTGATTTTATATGGGTAACCAAATACTCTAGAATTTCATCAAAATTTGTACCTTGAAATTGCAAAACTTCATGGGCTGCTATTTTTTTTTAAATTTTGTTGACAAGTGAAAAGGAAGAGAATTAGAGAGCAGAGTATTCTTCTGTCAGTTGTAGTGTTATGATACATAATGATGATATGTAATGATAAATAATATGAATATATAGGAATAATATAATAGGCTGCTATGTTTTTACAAGTTAGTGAGTATACTCCAGTGCATTTTGTTAGTTGTTTGTTATACTCCAGTGCATTTGTGGTTAAAACCTCAGTGTTAGCCACTATAGCCCTGAACCCCCCATGTGACTTCTTAGAAGCCAGAATACCCACAAGTGAAGTGCCTATCAGTCTTCATAAATGGAGGTTTACTGCGGGGCAGGCCACTAAGGAAAGCTGGAAACCACTGGTAATCCCATTTCTTTTGAACCTGAACAAGAGAAATTAAATTCCACATTAGGCTCTAGAGCAATTTCACTTCTCTGGAATGTCTGAATGTAGAAAGAGGTGTCAGTAAGCCTACAAGGGACCCTGTCCCCTGTCATCACTTCAACCATGCAGTCATACATTCAGTTGTCAGTGTGTGGAGTGCTGTCTACAACCATGTAGAGTAGACTTTTGAAATGAGCATTGAAAGAATTGTTACGCTCAATCATCTTCCAGTGGGTGCTGCCAAGCACCAGTTTGCTGGAGTTTTGGGATATTTTACTTTTTTCTATTTTTTGTGGCTGTAATACAGTGTTTTGGTGAAGCTTTCTAATGCTTTTTATTAAATCCAAATTTCAGCATCACTGTATTCTGCACTGCCTTGAAATAGAAAACCTTATTTTATCCTCCCTCTTTCTGTTAAAAATCTCCTATTTAATTTTTCTAAAAGTCTTCTTCATTTGGTATAATAGCCAGATTTGAAGCAGCCCACAGTTTTCAGCATTTTTGATGAGTAAACTTTGAAGTTTTTTTGTATTTGTGCCCTTTCTCTGAGTCGGTGAGTAGAAGTACGGGAGAAATCACTGGGTCTGTTTTTCTGGAACAGATTTTTGAAACTCACTGAATCAAAAAGCTTACCATTCAGATACTGGCATAGTTCTGAGTGATTTTAATGCTACTTTCCAAGCTGCTTAGAAATCCAAGGCATTTCAGGACCAAATAAGGAGGATCTCAGGTGCTCAATGAAGAGGTGAGAAAGCGTCTCAGACTTTGATACACTTTGAGAGCAGGACCTCCTTCCACTGCTTTTTAATGGGCTTGGAGTCTGGAGAAGTCCAGGGTCAACTGGAAGGTGGCAAAGATTATCCAAATTTTCAAGAAGAGAAAGAAGACAGACACTGGCCACTGCAGGCCTGTCTCATGTCAGTGCTTGGCAAAATTGTGGAGAAGGTTATTCTGGGAGTTAGGTCATAGCCAGCACAGATTCACATGGGGTGAAACTTCACTGGATTTAAGGAGGATTTTCTATTTCTTGGGCTCACAGCAGCTCTCAGAATTCAAGTGACTTGGAACAAGCAATATGTAGGAGACTCCAAAATAAGATGCCTAGGAAAGTAGGTATATGTACGTGTTTGAAAAGTTGCTGTACATCACCTTGTCCAAATGTTCCAAAGTGTTTGACATTGCAGGTACTCTTTCTTTAAAATTAGGTATGTCAGAAGACCTCTCTAAGCTTTACTGATGTATTATGAAATTTATTTTTCTGTTTCAGTCGAGCACATATAAATTTTTTTGGATGCTTCTTTGGTTTTCATAAATCATCTTACTCAGGAAAGTATATCATGAGGCACAGTAGAACAAGTTTTATCTAGTTTTTTTGCATGTAGAAGGTAATTTTTTCAATGGAAGAAGCAGCATATAATGTTCTAAATTTTAGTTGATTATTTTATTTTTTAATAACTTGTGACTCTTCAACATTTCCTTTCTTCACTTATTTAAATGTTTAAAATATGCCTTGTGCTCCATAAGGTTTTATAAATTTAACAGTGCTTGTTTTTAACAAATAACAGTGTTATTTTGTTCAGTGTAGTCAAATTGATCTGGTGTGTTGCCACTACCTAGATTCTTAGATGCTAATCTTCACGTATACACATCTAAAGACAAGCTGTGCACAAGACAGAGGATTTCATGTATTAATATGCATAATATTACAGTTATTTTTAATTTCATGGGGTTTAGATTTTTTAAAGGCCAAAAATCTTTCCTTACGGAAATTATTTTGGCCATTGTGTGTTTTTCTTTCTTTTCCTTTCCTTGACATCTTTTGGAAATTCTTCTGCCACTTTCCCAAGTCTTTTTCTTGAACAGCAAAGTTCAGTATTTATGAAGACGGTAGCTGAGGCAAATAATCTACTTACCTTTGCTGTTTAAAACACCTCTAAACTTGATCACTTAGCAGGTGTCTGTGCAGGTCAAGTTGAGAGTCAGAACAATACTAGAGGTAGTGTCAAAACTTGCCTGGGGTGAATAGGAAAAGGAACTTACTGTCTGGGTTAATACTGACTGTGTTACTTCCACTGTTTGGTTTTGTGGGTTTTTCCCCTGCTGTATTTTGTCTTGACTGTTTAAAGCTTTATCTTGTGTGAAGTAAAAGTGGTTTTTTAATAGTTAGGAAATAATACAAAAGTATTTTGTTGCATCTGTCAACAGATAGACTGGAGGATAGACTGAATACCAACTGGAGGAAGAAAGTCCACCTGCTTTAAAGGATACACAGTGTCATACATAGCCTTGACTCTTTAAAACAAACATAAAGATGTTTCAAAAAAGAAAACCTGAGTACAGAAGCTAGATTTTTGTCATTGTTTTTGTGGACACTTAAACGAACTTGTAAAATATTATCATTACAGAAGAAGCATTTCAGATAAAGCAAGTGTTTTGGACTGTTAAAATCATCAACTGAATGGTTCAACTGCATTTGCAAAATCACATATAGGGGAAAAAAAAGCTTTCATAATTCAGGTTATTCATGCATGCAGATTTTGTGATAGTTTTACCCATTCCCTAATCTTTATGTATCCATGACAACACAACTTGTTCACATTTCCCAAGGAAAGCAATTAAAATGTGAAGGTTTTAATAATATAGGATTAGCAGACCTTCAAGTATTATGTGAGATATCATACCAAAGCTGTGAGCATGAAGAGGTACATATGTAAAGGATTAACATGGAATGACAACTGCTGCTCATAAAACTACACAAATAATTATAAGTATTATCATGTTGTCCAGGTTATTGCACCATTTGTAATCCAGACTGACCTTTTTATGCAAAATAAACCGGAAAAAGAAAAAGACAGTAAATGCTAGTGCATTTCACTGTCAGAAGCTCTTAAGCAGGGTTTTCCTTCTCATGTAGACACCTACTGCAATTGCTTGATTTTGCTGGCACTTCTTTTTTTCCCCTTTTTATAATTTCTGCATATCATCCTCCATTAAAGTTACAGGTGCAAATAAGTAATAATACTATACTTTAGCTAAATGGTGAGCTTGGAACTGAAGGCCAGTTCCAGTGCTGCAGAATCTTGAAGGCAGACCTTTATTCCTCCTGTAGTCTGCTCCAGAAGAAAACTAAAGCTGTAAGGGGAGACTGAGGAGGCCACTTCCTTCTGCTTTTTATTCACTTAACTTATTTGAAATACAAATGAAATGAAGTTTGCCCCTGTAAACTCAAAAGTCTTGGCATTGACCCATACCTCTCAATTCCTCATGTTCTAATATCGCACTTGCAGGCTGCATGTGAAACCCTGAAAGTACAGCAGTATTTAATTAAGTTTTTCTGAATATGAGCTTTAAGTAAAGGAGATATATAGCAGACCCAGTAAGTAAATTTGATTTAAAAATTAGTATCAACCTACTAGTATCATCAGATTAGCAATAAATAATGCATGTACCATTGAGCAGATAACTGATTATACAAGCATTTTGGAGCTCTAAATTTCAGTAATATCAGAGAATGCTGATTGACCAGAAACACAACGAAGAATGGAGGAAACTAGGCAAGTCTCTTACCTTGTATTTTTCAGGTGGATGGAAGGTTGTAGTGTGTGCTTTGAGTTGACAAACATATCTGTATGGAATCCTAAGACACAGCATTCAGTAAAACTTTTCTTGAAATTTTCAGAAAATCTGACTGAAGAGGGAGAAGTTTGGATAGGTGGGTGGAGTTGTGCTCTGTTGGCTGTGCTATTTAGGGTAAAGTGTTTCCTATTAAGTGGGAAGAAACTGTGTAGAGGCGATCCAGAAGCAGAGTGTGATCAAGACATTTTGTTGCATAAACCATTGTCCCAGTGTATGGGGAGATGTGTAGGGGAAAGATGGATACACTCCTTTACCCTGATACCTTTTCATCCCACTCCTTAACTTCAATTTATTATTAACTGTTGATCAGAAGTTGGTTTCCTGTGTCAGTTGTGAGTTATCTGTCAGTATCCTTCCTGTTATTTGTCTGGTTGTGCGACTTACTGGACACAAAACAATCCCTTAGATTTCATCTTTAGCATTCCCCCCATAGCACAGGCCATCAGATTGCAAGGTGCTTCCTGTTGCATTGAGTCAGTCATCTGCACGTGTGTCTATGGCTCTCACCCTCGGTGCCTCATGCATGCTTTCCATGACATTCCTAACGCACCCCATGGAGTTAAATTCACAAGTGCTGTGTAACATTCAGGGTACATCCAGACCACGTATCTCCACTACCTAATCCTGCTCCAGATAATGTCCTCTTTTCTGGACGTTTCTGCTTAAGGGCTCTCCAGAACATTGTGTTTGGCGAGAGATGACAAAACTCACTGAAGAAAATAGGGATTATATTAGTGGCCTTGGCCTGCTTCCTGTACGGCAGTTCACGGGAGCAGTGACACCACAGTGGCCTCTAGTGGGTTGTGCGGTCACTGGTATTCCTTTTTACTGTAAGCCTTGTGGAGGTCCGTTGAGCTTGTTTTCTGAAGAGGAAGTTGTGCTCGGGCCAGAAAGGGGGGGCTGCTGTTAGGGACGTGTTGTTGCACACCCCTGCAGGCTGAGCGGGACCCGCCGGCTGGAAAGTGCTGGCTTGGCGGGCGGAACTTACTTGTGTGCTTGTGAACACACGTGTCCAGTGTTTGCAAACAGTTTTGGGATATGAAACAGGGAAGAGGAGTTCAGTATTTGGTTAATAGGGGATATCCCTTTAGTCATCTGGAAAAGCGTTTTAACAGTAGCTGGTGAAATGCAGTAATTGAAACATGTAAGACTTGTCACAGAGCAGGGAGGGATTGGAAGTTTTTGTTTAAATGATAATAATCTTAGATTAGGGCCTTACATTATAGACAAGTTTGTAATGCCACTATATATGGTAACGAAGAAGACGTGACTTCATTTTTCCAGGGACAGCTCTGAGGCTAGGGAGTTTCTAATTATTGTTACAGGGACTCTGGGCTTCATGCAATGCTTCATCTTGGAGTGGTTTTGTCGTTGTAAACATGTAGACAAAATGGAAGAAATTTGACAAACATTGTCATGGTCTGAGGAGGACTGTTGAGGACAGGTAGATTAATTTAAGCATTAGTTATGCAGGTAAATCCCAATTAAGGATATGGCAAAAGGGAGATGTAAGTGTATAAATATTTGAATGATGTAAATGTCAAACAGAGATTTTTCACTTGTACACACTGGTATAAACAGAAAGGATTGAGAACAAACGAAGGCTCTGTGCCATGTATTCCAAAAACTTTGTCAAGGAAAAGTAATGCGAAAGCACTGTTTTCTGGAAGGAATAAATGAAACCCTGTCTCTGGAGAGAGTAACCAGGCTGGACCAGGGGTCTTAGGGAAAAAATCTAGTCCTGACTTTGGTTAGGACGGGGCTTTTTTGATTGGAACATCCATGAATTGTGTCATTGGAGAGCTCTTAAAACTTATGAGCTCTTTCTCTTTTTTTTAATAAGCTCATCAGTCAATTTTATAGGACTTGATTTGGGGTTTTGTGCTGAGGGTTTGATAGTGGTTTGGGGTTTTTTGTTGTTTTGTTTTAGGTTTTTTGTTTGTTTGTTTCTGGGGTTTGGTTGGTTTTTTTTTTTAAACATATTTTAAATATTACAAAACCACCTTCAGGTATTCCTGCAATAAAATAGGTTAGTACACAATGAATTGTAATATTCATTTCAGGAATGCACTTTACAGAGTTTCTCTTTAAATTTGAAAATTACAGACAACTCCAGAGCAGAATTTTGTTCATCTTTGTTTTGCACTATTAGCTGATGATATGTCCCAAACTTTAGTGAAATAAATAAATGCATATGAACTTCCAGGTAATTGAAGCATGAAAGCCACTAGCAGAGAACAATTAAAAGAAGATCTTGCATGGTGTGTTGGTATCTACCATCATTCCAATGCCACTTCAGTAAAATATTTAGCGGGGTGTACTGTAGACTTCATCATAGATGAAGAATGTGCATTGTCAGAAGAAAAAGAGATGATGTAAGGGGTTTTTTTTTACCACTCTAAATATTATAAATTATGAAGATTATTTTTTTCTGGTTTTGTTTCTGAAGATATCTTATGTAAAAATGAAGTTAAAAACTTTCAAATTAAGTCAGATTAAAACTCCCAAAAGTAAAAACAAGCTTGGTGTTTCGTTGAAACTTAGGTTTTAATATAAAAGTAAGTCCTTGTTTTTTCTAATCCAGTGTAATCTAATTGCAGTTGATGAGTAAAGAGTCTCCAGTCTCTGTTGGAAATGATGCTTACGTTGACCTTGATCGGCAGGTATCTAAGACCAAATGTTTCTTTTCCTTCCATCATACCACATCAGTGGCCAGTCCTTTTTCTGTATTAAGAACTCTGTCTTTTTTTTTTTTTTTTTTTAATCATTAAAGTGTTTTGTGGGAAAGTCAAATGAGGAGTGGAAAACTAAATTTCAGTAGTAAATTTCAGAGTCCTTTAGGTTTATAGATTGAGTTTACTCCTATTCTGTGTTTAAGGGAAAAAAAAAAAAGTTGATTTGGAAAACCAGTCTAGCTGTATGACATAATAAAACAAACTGCAGATTGGTACAAATCTTTAGGTATTGAGAAAGGATAAAAAATGTGTAGTATTTGAATAAAACTTTTTATGCGTGTGAATAAAACTTTTCCTGACTCCCAAAGTCAGTTAAAAAAAAAAATCAACAAACAAATCAAAACAAACACATGCATATTTGAGGTCCTGGAACCGGTCCAGTACATAAGAGAAGTTCTCAAATATAACCCTTCCCTGTCTGATATATTTAAAAAATATGCAAAACCAATTAGTTTTACTAACTTAACTTCATGCTAACCCTATCCTGCTTCCTCAGATTTTTTTCTAATTGAGAAGTATCGTACAGTGGTTTTCCCTGTGTTCCTCCACCATACTTTTTCTGCAGAAATATGTAAATGCTGGCAGATTAAATTAAGTTCTATATGTAAACAGGCCCTGAGAAATAAACTTGCACATACCAAATATGATGATGCTATTTGAGAAAGCCCATTTAAATTTCATCATGTATAATAGCACATCTATATCTATGTCTATATACATAACATGCACACACCTATAGCTATGTTTATGTTAACTGGATTAATTTGTAAACTGACAAGATACATATCTTTGAATATTGAGCCCTTGAAAGGAAATACCTGAATATTTACCACTGCTTACAAGATTCAGTGCCCTTTTTCAGAAGGGTAGGCTTCTCTGTCACCACGTTAGTTGTATCCCTGTTGTGCACTAAGAATAGCTCCCTTTACTAGAGAGATTTTACCCTAATTGTCCATTCCCTGTATTCCGCCTTCCAGTCCTTTCAAAACTAGATTGAAAATTGAAATTATGTACTCTCTGATTCTGTAAAGAAAAGTGGTATTGACAGTTTTTTTCAGTGTAGAGATTTGATGAGTTCTTCAGACCCGAGTTCAAGTGTTTTTGGCTCAATTCATAGAGCAGATGTGATAATTCTAATATAAGAGCAAATATTACTTTTGGGTAGTTTTACTTTTTACTAATACACAAACTAAACAGTAATCACACCTGCTTCTTTTTTTCTTTATAAGAGTGGAATTGCCTGAGCTTTTCAAAAATTTAATATATTACCTAACTGTGAAAATTTTACAGTCATGTAGTTCAGAATATTTTTAATTGGATCACAGAGACTGATGACAGTGTTAATGTTTGTTGTTTATGCTAGCTGAAGAAAACTACAGAAGAATTAAATGAAGCACTAGCAACAAAAGAAGAAATTGCCCAGAGATGTCACGAGTTAGATATGCAGGTAAGTTTGCTATAGTGTCTGTATTGATTTTCAAGTGGGGAAAAAGATGTGTTAACTTTTAGGCAGCTGAAAATAAGCAGTATAGTGTGGAAAACAATTTTTAAACGGGAGATGAAAATGGCACAGTAGTTATTTTGCTTCACTTGTGCTAGCAGAATGAATGTCATTGTTTTCTTATCTTGATGCAAAGTTGCCAGTATGAAGATGACTCACACTGATGAAACTTTTTTTCATTGTGGTAGGAAGGGTTTGAGCTGTGTGGTAAAACTGTTGCGGTAGAGCACTAAGACAGGTTCTGCTGCTGTAACAGTTTCAGTTCAGTGTTAAATACCAGTAGGAAGTTACTGCAGACTATCAGCTGTGCATGGGTTTTGACTAAGTTTTACTTTAAGTCAATCATACCTCATCTGGAAGATACGAGGAGTGTGAGGAGGAAGCCCTGAAAGGCGTTGCCATTGTAACCCTGTTTTGGAGTATAATTCAGGCTTTTTGCCAAACAGTTCAGTAACCGTTGGAATTAATGAAGCTGATCTGTGTGCTCGTGGTTAATATGTGAACCCATGTTTCAGCTGTTGTTTGAGTTGGAGCACTCTGAGTTCTTCACGCCACTGCCTGTTTCCACAGCGTTGGTGGAAACTGAGTCATCTTTGGAACTGTGTTCCTCTTTTGGACCTGCTTGCAGTTAGTCCTTACTGTGGAAAGCTAGTTTTATTTGTTTGCTGGGAGAGTATGCAGACTTAATTATGATGAAGTTATCTTCTGTCATAACAAAGACTTTTTCTTTCAATGCCAGTGCAAAATACGTTAAAGAATAGTTACATATTCTGTGTGGTAAATCTGCCCCTAATGTTGCAATATGTTGGTTACATCACTTAGCAATTGAATGCCTATTAAATGATACAGTATATTCCTGTGAAATGTGATTATTATTGTAATCTATGTGTTTCTGTTTGTGGGTTGTGTTGATATTTTATTATGTGCACAAAAAAGTATTTCTCTCTGAAGCTGGATGGATCAGTTATTCTAGTCCATGCTTTTATTACAACAGGTTGCAGCCCTCCAAGAGGAGAAGAGCAGCCTGCTTGCTGAGAACCAGATTTTGATGGAACGCTTAAATCAGTCTGATTCTATTGAAGATCCCAACAGCCCTGCAGGTCGTAGGCACCTGCAGCTGCAGACACAACTAGAACAGCTCCAAGAGGAAACATTCAGGTAGAAAAGCTACGCTTGATTAGATTGTTTGTAGCTGGCAACATATGTGACTTAGATACTTCTGGTTCTGCTGGCAATTATGAATGAGTATAATGGGTGACATAACCACAGTAGTACAGTTTTTACAGTGTCGTACACATTATGATTTACCTCTTTACAAGCTCTAGCATAACAAAATGCATCGGCTTAATGCTGAAAAGCTGTATACATGTCACTCTCTACTCTGTGAGTTATTTTGAATTGTTTGCATGCAGTCATTTCACCCATGTTTTTCAAAATCAGTGAGAATTAAAAATAGCATGCTTTCCTTTACCCAAATTATTCTAATTGCATTTTTAAGGTGTAGAAATTCGTAGACTAAGGTCTGCTACAGGCAGTTCTACAGGTGGCGTTATTACATAGCAAAGTATGTCCTTCTCTGAACTTGAAAACAGATTGTTTCATATCTGAAACATGGAGATTATCCACATGTGATCTCTGCGTTTCATTTGCATTTCCTCACCCTGTGGAAATACAATCCCTCTGTAAATCTCCTTCCTGGTTCTTTTGAGAATTGCTTCCAGGCTGTGTGTGCCTATTCTGCTGAAGAAAGCTGGTTCACTTCACTTTTTCATCCTCTTTGCCATACTTTCCCTCTCTTTCTTCAGTGAAACCATGGTATTTCTTTACACTGACAGTTTTTCTTTCGCTATGCACTGCCTTTTACTCTAATTTTGGGTTCTGAAGGTCATTCTAAACATTTTTCTCCTGTGAGACTCATTCCTGGTCTCCTTTATCTCCTTCCCCTGCCTTCATAGCATGTGGTTTCTACTGGCAATTTGTACATGTTACTTCCAGCTCTACCTGATCAAGCAGGACATATGTACAGCTGAATTGATGTCCAGTGTGGTACAACTGTTTTTATCCAGTCTTGACTCTTTGTCCTTTGACACTATTAGTCTGTCACGATCCAAATGTTTGTTGTTTGTGGTTTAAATGACTTAAAGACTTTCTCTTGTCTCCATTCTTGTAGACTCTTTTTGGATAAAATCCTTTTTTTACCCCTCATGCCCATATCTCCCTTTCTGGATTGATCATGTTTTAGTTTCAGATCAAAATCGCTGTAGGACTTCTGTTCCAGATTGTGTCCTTTTCCATTCATTCAAAATACTTTGACAAAGTTACTATTACTTGTTCCCTTTTTTCACTGACAGGTCAATGGAGCTTTGCCTATGTGTGCTGTATGCAAGCAGTTTACTCCAGCAACTTTGATCTGAGTTCTTTACTTTTTAACTAAAAACCTGGTTCTTCAGGTGTGCTGGACATGCACAGGCTCTTTATGAGTAAATAAATAAAATGACTTTGTTGAGAGCTCTATGGCATTTATAACATCTGACAATCAGGTCAAAATTGTTGAAGGAGTTGGACAACTGAACAAAATCTTACGATAAATGTATCATGTTCAAACTCTGTATGTTCCAAGATGAAAAAAGGTGAAAATTTCTGCTTGAGCTTCCTTTGTGAAAAACTACTATTGCAGAAGAAACCTGAGGATTGTCTTTATGAGAGCATACATTACCTTTTGATTTTCCAAGTAGAAAGACTGATATCAGGTTGGGAGCATCAAAAAAGTCAATCTGCTTCTATGTTTTGAATAAGCACATTGGGCTGTTCTCCTTCGCTGCAACAGAAGGCCATTTCATGTGTTTTTAGAGGGGATGATGATGAGGAAAGGTAAGTGTGGCTCAAGATGGAAAGTTATTTTCTGTTTTTCTTCATTTTTACAGATTAGAAGCTGCCAAAGATGACTATCGAATACGCTGTGAGGAACTTGAAAAGGAAATTGCAGAATTGAGACAACAAACAGAAGAGCTTACTACACTGGCAGAGGAGGCTCAGTCTTTGAAGGATGAGATAGATGTACTCAGGTAAATTCTGTTCCATTAATCCTTTTTTAACTATTAACTTTTAATTTGTGTACTTAATCTACATTATCTTTTGTTTAAATAATTTAAATATTAAATATAAATGCTTTCTCAATGCCAAGGTTCTTCTGGATCCTCCAGTTTAATTCTGCTTAAGTAAAATAGTTGTTTATTGTGTACCTTGATCACTAGCTATGAGTAGACTTAGCAGTTCTACGCAATCTTATGGTTATTACAGGGCACTTGGTGATCTCTTGAGTATTTGCTACTCACCTTCATCATGACTTGGGCATCTGTTCTCGTCAGGAAACTATGGCCTTTCCTAGGTTTGCATTGTTTGGACTTTGGGTGTGCTTTTGGTTCATCAAATAATGCTAGTATGAACACCTGTTGCAGCTCTCACTGTCACTGGATCTTAGCATACAAAGTTGTCATGATTTGATGATGCTAGGGGTTTGTAGGGTGGGACAGCCACTTTTGCTGTGGAACATAATCCTTCAGTATTGGTGCCTTGCTGCAATGAGTTATTCAGAACAGTTACCCATTCTCTCTCCCAAGGCTTTGTTTTAATATTGCCGTTTCTAATTCGCCAGCAGCTTTCTATCAAAGCTTTCTGTCTTTATCCCCTCTGTCATTAATATAAGGAATGAACCCATCAGGCTGCATAATTTCATAAACTGTCTGTGTGGGTGCCATAGGTTCAAAGAGTAATTCCTTGTTGCAAGAGAGAGGCTCTGCACTTCACTGGGGATCATAGAGATTTGGCTTGCCTCAGCATCTCATAAACTGGCCCATCAATTCGGTGGGAGATTCCCTGGATTTCATAGGAAGTTGAGTCTGTAAATGATTTGGTTCAAAAATGAAACCAAGGCCAGTGCTAGTGGTAGAGGGGTGGGTGGTTGTTGGGGTGTGGGCAGTTGCTGTCCTGGCAGTGCAGTGGATATATTAAAAAAACTCTGAGAAGTTGTGAACAGAGCCTGGTGTTTCTTTTCTTTCTCTCATTTTTTTTTTTTTAGAAGGAATCAAATTCCAAACAAATCAAACACAGTACTTTACTTCTGTGTCACCAAGTGTGAGTTGCCCAGGAGATGGATCTTTATGATTTTATTCCTGGCTCTCATTAAAACAAGTTGGAGGCCAGAAAGTTTTCTTCTTTAGCCTTGTAAAATGCAGAATAGAAGATAATTTGGAATTGAAAGGAAATGAGTGGGAATGAAGTTGTGTTAACTACTGTTTTAAGATTGGAAGCAGATAAGAAAGCTGTATTAGGAAGAGTGATAGTTTCTAAAGGACCTCTATCAGCAGTAATTTGAGTTGACAAACAGTCATATGGGAGGAAAGCAAGTAATATAAAAGTGAAAACATTAGTAATAAGAGAATATGATTGCTTTATTATTCTCCTCATGATGTCTCAGAATGTCTTCTGCATTAAGGCAAAATAGTGAGGAAGCATTTAACTTTGTTAGTTTTATTCGTTTTCTGAGTTCAAATTCAATACAAATCTATCCCTTCAGGCATTCTTCTGATAAAGTAGCCAAGTTAGAAAGCCAGGTAGAGTCATACAAAAAGAAATTGGAAGATCTGGGTGATTTGCGGCGTCAAGTGAAGCTTTTAGAAGAGAAGAATACAATGTACATGCAAAATACTGTGAGCCTGGAGGAAGAATTAAGGAAGGCCAACGCAGCTCGCAGTCAGCTGGAAACATACAAGAGACAGGTGAGGACAAGCACCATCAATGCAACAGTACTCCCTATTGTTCACCACTTTCTCTTCCTAATATGGTTAATACCTCAAAGTAAAAAACAAACTATAAAAAACCATCTCCTTCTGTTTAGAAGATTTCCGTGTTTTGTAGGTACTACCTTTGTCCTCCTTTCCTGCAATTCTTGTCGTTATTACAGGATTATATTAGTTTGCCGATAAGCAGTATTTCTTACATTTAAAAAATCAGCAGAAGTTAGGGGTTCTTTCCTAAATTATTCCCAATTCATATTCAATAGCAGGGCTTGAATTTGAGCCTCTTCTTTTAGAGAAAGTTATCTACCTTTCGCTTAAAATTTTCCAGAAGTGAGGAATGCACCACAGCTGAGGTAGATTATTCCTCCAGTTAAGTAACCTCTCCTTTTTAAGGTTCTGGTCTCTGATACTTCTGAATTTTTCCAGATAAGAAGAGAGAAGGACACATGTCGTCCCTGTTGTTTATATGCACTCAGCAGAGTACAAAATGTGTCACCGGCACACTCTCGGAGTGAAAGGCATCTGCTTATCCTCCTGCTTATCAAAGTGCCATGTGATGCTGTTTCTGTAAAGGTGGACGATGTGCTTTAATCTTCTCTCTGCTTCTATGCTACAGGGACATGACATCATACTGGCATTCTTGCTACAGGGCCAGGCAGAGCATGGGTCATTAAAGTATTAGTGCCTGCTCTGTGTTTCTGCCTGATTGAATGGTCACAGCACAGAGTCCCTGTTTGTCACCTTACAGTAGAATAAAACACAGAAAAAAGCACTAACAACATTGCAAGCCCAGGAGCAATGTGTTTCCCTAAGACTTAATAGCTCTTTTTTCCTGCACTTGGCCATCTCATTTATTAAGACAACTAGTTTCAGCCTCTGTGGCCTAGTTGTAAATACAGCCCAAATATTTTCACCAGAAAAAATATGAAATAACAGACAATTCCTGTAGTGGAACATGTCCTGTGTATGAAGTATCCAACCCCACTCATGAGAATGCCATCAGAGGAATTTTTTCTTTGATTTAGAAGCATTGTGCTATGCAGATGTAAGTGCTTGATTCAAACTCTTATAGTAATTTGCAAGGAAATGGCACCTCCACTGCACACAGCAGAAGCCTTCTCTAAGAAACTTTATTGCAGCGTTAAGAATTGAAATGTGAAGATTCCAGAATAATTTTTTCGTAATTTAATTCAGCCCCTTTGTGCATGTGCATTCTGATATATTTTTAACAGTATGTCTTGCTTTTCTTTGTTGCAAAATTCCTGCTTTACTCATTCCACACTGAGATAACGCTTAGTAAATGTGATGGCAGTTCATTTTTATTTTTTTTAATCTTATGCATTACCATGAAACTGTGTATCTTTCTATACCCTCACAAGTCCTAATTCAAGACAATTATACAATTTATTTCCTGCTGTGTTTTTCTGCATGCCATTACCATAGCTTGAGTGATTACAAACATTAATGCATTTTTTTCAATTTGAGGTGAAAATTTACATCTTTTGCAAGTGGGGACACAATCACAGGTGTGAAGGCCTGTGTATTTTTTTTATACCTGCATTTATTGTGATAACCCCAGTGATGGATGTCACATCCGAGAAACGAAATATTTTCATATCTAATATTTTATTTTTTTAATGTCAGAAAATGCAGGCCTGTGCTGTTTTCACGGCCTTTAATTTAAGAACAACAGCAGCAAATTCCTTCTCTAAGACTTGCATATTTCAGGCCTTGTAGATATTTTGCTGTAGCTGTACACATTGAAAATAAAAGGCAGTAAGAAAAACTGGCTAGTCTTAATGTAAGTAGCGCTTCACAATTTAAGTTAATCTCTTCCTGTCTAATCTGAAAGCCATGAAAAAGCCTTCTTATAAATTCCTTCAGAAGAAGCTGTATGTCTTTATCTGAGTCTTCATTGACCTTTTGTGTTTGCAGTTCAGTTTTTATTGACCTTACTTGCTTCAGTGCTCTCTGCGTTATGAGCTTTACTAATGTTCTGGGAATGAATCTTTGCTAGTAAAGGCTGAGAATTTTGAAAAGGCAAGATTTCACTGATTTGCCTCCTACTGTGCTCAGCTTTCATGTTTCTGCTCACTTAATTTTAAAAGCTCTTTACTGATCTCTAGTTGAAAGCATACCTGCGGCTTTGTTAGCAGTGTTTCTCCCCGAAATAAGGAAAACTCTTTATAAGCCTGTGGCCAAATCTTTATATTAACGTATTAGAAATTATTAGGAAATCTCAGGTTAAGAAATGTTACTTGTCTGCATGAACTGGTAGGTGTAGGTAATTTGCTTTCTTCAGAGTTTTTTCTTCTTACTAGGCTTCTCAGAATGCAGGGAGATTTTTCTGCTTTTCCTAAGCTCTTTGATCCCTAGAATTACATAGCTTTTTTTCTGTAAAACTTGCTTGAGCTTAAATTCTTGTTTTAGATGTACTGAAAATACTTCACTAGTTTTTGTGTCTTTTGCTTGCACTAAGACCTAATATTTGAATGCTGTTTATTTTGCTGAAACACAGAACAACTTATGAAAGAAGTTTTAGTGTGTCCTGTAGGTAGTTATTTCACTTGTTTACAACATGACTCATGGTGCATGGTAACGGGCTACTTTGTCTTTTGTATTTTGTTTTAATATTTGCAGACACATTATTGATTCTTGTTCTCACAGGCAGTTGAACTACAAAACAGGTTATCTGAAGAGTCCAAGAAAGCTGATAAATTAGATTATGAATGCAAACGACTGAAAGAAAAAGTAGACAGCCTCCAAAAAGAAAAAGATGTAAGTGCCAAGGTGTTATTTTTTTGTTAGTAATGATAGCAACTTTGTAACACAGAGATATGGTAATTAGAGTTAGCAGTCTTTTTAAATTAGGAAGTCTTTTTTCAGCTAAAATTTTCTAATGTTTCTGTACAAGATACTTTTTAAACCTAAGAGTTGTACAGCATGGAATAAAGTGACTGTACAAAAACATATGCAACCCATTTTTAAGAGGAGGAGCGTTCTTATTTGGCATCTGAAGTTGTTTACTATTTACCATGAGAAGGTTAATAAATACCCAGGGTAATTTTCATGTATTCTGAAAAACTGTTTACAGTAGGGTTTCTATGGTATCATCTTAGAACTAAACTCCTGTTGCATTTTTTTTTCTAAGGCATTCTTCGAGGTACCATCCGTGTACTTCTCTTTGGGGAGTCATGATTACTGTAGCAAGAGGCTTAGTAGTTGTGTAGAGGGAAGTGTCCTTTGTGGCGATCTCACCTTTTATGACAGCTCCTTGTTGATCTATCTTACACTGCCAACATGGAACACACAGGGTAGATACTAACCTGTCCCCTTCCACTTGTGTCATTTGCTGCTAGTGATTCTGCAATTGATTGCTCTCTTTTGCCAGTACTGATCCTTCAAACTTCTCTTGCACACTGTTGTTTCTTACCAGTTTACTTTGGCTTGTTTCTTGGGAATGTATATGCAGGTGCCTCAGACTACCTCAAACCAAGGTCAGCACTTTGAGTTAGCAGTTTCTTAGACATGTTGTAATTATCAGTCCATCAATACAGCTGTCAGAAGCTCTGTAGGCTTTTTCCTCAATAGTCATATTTCATGTCCAGTTCTTTCTGAAATTTCCAGGCCCTGCACCTGAATATCATTTCAACTGAAAGTTTTCAGTTATTTTATGTTCATAGGTCATTGATTTCTATTTTTTATTAAATTTTTGGACACTTGACCTTCAGATCACTTCAATCTGCCTTTCATTTCAGGCTGAAATGCTTGTAGTAATTGTATTTGTACTGTGCTTTGGCTTTCTTTCCTGCTCTTTATTTTTGAATTTAGGTGGTTTTTTTCCCCAGTGCTTTTGTTTGACAGTGGTAAAGTTGTCTCTGTGGCTTATCCATTGCTTAGTGGACCATTTCATCTTGCACAAAGGATCTGAATTGCAGGCCATTGTCATACAGTTTTCCATTTTACCCCCTGACAAATAGTATTTTTTTGGGCTGTTTTTAAGTATATTCTTTTGGATGCCTGTGAGAAACAGATTACAGCTAGAAGTCTCTCATCATATGGATGTAGTGATTCACTCACTGTCAGTTACCTACTCTTTCTGTTCCCTCTTGTCACAATACTTATCAGTAAGGTAGCCCACCACAGGTCATAAGCTGTGTAGTGCTATCTTGTTAGTTATATTTTGGATGCAGTTACTGAAATTGATTTTACCCTTTTCTTTATGTTCTGGCAAAGCATGGTAGTGTGTTTGATATCTTCAGCTATGTAGCTTGGAACTTTACCTCTGTGGTGTGTTATGTGATAAGTACTAAGATAATTTGATGAGTTGCTTGTCTAAATGAAGCCCTTGAGCTTTTTCTAGCCATTACAATATTCTGGCATTTGATAATCAACTGTTAATAGAATGAAATGCAAGGACCTCTCAGCTAACACAACTTCATACCTACACAGAGCCAAGATCTGTCCTGGACCATTTAGTAATACTGAACGTATCTAATTTTGGAGCAAACTGCAGCTTGGATCATTACAGAGTTGCCATTTTCTTCTTTCGTTTTTGACTCTTGGCAACATTCTGCACAAAGACTTGGTGCTATCTGTAGATTCTCATTTTTTTTTGCCAGAAGGTGACTTGTGCCAAACTGAGAGAGTATTTGCCTGATGCTACTAAATAACACATCTCTCTGGATCCCAAGGTGGTCCAGTCCTGTTCTTCAGTTCTCTTTGGACCGAGTCTTAAGCAACTAGTTTTCTTTTATGGCCAAGATTCTGATGAGTGGCAAGGCCAGCTGATACACAGGTGGAATGGGATATGGAAATGCTGCTCACACTTTCACTGGTAAAAGAAAAACAAAATGGAGTGAAAGCAGTTTGTTTATGTTGACTGTGTACTCGCCTGCTCTTTATTTCGCTCCTGTGTAAACCTTGGATACATGGTGAGGGAAAATTCTATACTCTCTTAATTCACTTCCCTTTGCCTTGGAATCAGCCCCAATGAAAGGAAAAGGAAAATATCTGACTGGCCACAGTGGATACAATTTACTACCCATACTGTAACTTTGCATCTCTAATTATCTCAATTTTGTAAGCTTGTACCCTGTTTTTTCTAGCCTCTTAAGATCAGCAACTCTTCTCCAAAAAAACACCACTGGCCATGTGGAATATATAATACTTAAATTTATTCTATTGTGAAATAGACTGAGATACCTTAATTTCAAAATAATCTCTAGAATTGCATTAAATTCTTTTTGAAGTGTTGAAGTCTATGCCTTTTGGTGACCTGTATACTGTTAAAGATGGGTGTGTAGTGCCAAGACTGATGTTTGTTATTTGTTCTCTTTCCAATTGTTCTCTTTCCAATTGTTCTCTTTCCGATTATTCAGAGATTAAGAACAGAAAGGGATTCCTTGAAAGAAACTATTGAAGAGCTTAGATGTGTACAAGCTCAGGAGGGTCAACTCACCACTACAGGTAAAAGACAAATAAGGAGATTAAATGCCTCTTTTCTAAAATTTACAGGACCTCTCTGGAGAGTGTTGATTGTGCTTTTGTTTAGCACACAATAAGTTTAAGCTCCTCTCAAATCAGAAGTGAAAAACTGCTTCAACTATTCATAACTTCCTGACCAAGCAAAGACTTCGCATATTACTTCAGTCAATCAGAAATTTTACTCTCTTCCCTGGTGTGATATTTTTATAATGTATATCTGATTTCTGTGTAGTTACATAATTTTCTTTAGAGACATATTTTTTCATGATGTTTCATGTGTTGTGGTTCATTTCTATCTGTAATGTTGCATAGCTTTGTAGTTCTTAGATAAGCTAATGAGCAGAAAAGAAATTGCAAAATTATTTCTTCAGAATGGATGAAGTCTGAAGTAATTATTAATCTCCAAATGAACTGGTGCTTGCCTGTCTGTCTTACTGTAGCCTTTGTGTCATTTTACGTTGTCTAGCAGTAGTCTAAAACTGTAAATTTCTAAAACAGTGTTTACTTCTTTTCATGTAAAGAAAGTAAGTGGTGTGCTTGCAAAATTTTTTACTTTTCCTTACTCAGGATTGATGCCTCTGGGAAGACAAGAGCCTTCCGACAGTTTAGCAGCAGAAATCATTACTCCTGAAATAAAGTAAGCTAATATGTGCTTTGTTTTACTAACCTTTACAGTGGTCTAAGGCAAGTTGAATCTGAGTCAGCAGTGCCCTGGTAGCCAGGAGGGCCAACCATGTCCTGGGGGCATCAGGCAAAGCATCACCAGCTGGGTGAGGGAGGGGATTGTCCTACTCTGCTCTGACCTGGGGTGGCCCCAGCCTGAATATTGTGGCAGTTTGGGGCACTGCAATATAAGAAGCACATAAAGCTATTATAGAGTATCCAGAGGAGGGCCATGAGGATGGTGAAGGGACTGAAGGGGAAGCTGTATGAGAAGCAGCTGAGGTCACTTGGTCTGTTCAGCCTGGAGAAGACCTCATGGTGGTTTTCATCTTCCTAGTGAGGGGAAGAGGAGGGGCAGACATTGATCTCTTCTCTGGGGTTACCAGTGACAGAACCTGAGGGAATGGCCTGAACTTGTGTCAGGGGAGGTTTAGATTGGATATTAGGAAAAGATTCTTCCCCCAGAGGGCGGTTGGGCACTGAACAGGCTCCCCAGGGCAGTGGTCACAGCATCAAACCTGGCAGAGTTCAAGAAGATGAGGCTCAGGTGCATGGTGTGGTTCTTGGGGATGGTTCTGAGCAGGGCCAGGAGTTCGACTTTGATGATTCCTCTGGGCTACCAAATTACTGGATTTTCTCTAAGCATACATGTTTCCATGTACACTGTTTCCAGCAGGAAGGTGGCTTCCATGCCTGTTTGTTAGAGATGGACAGTAGCAGTGACTGCTGTATGTCTGAAACTTCCTGATCTGGAGGTCCAGGCTTTTGCTTCTGCTGATGAATGGGGAAGACTGCACAAAGCAGCCCTCTACAGAAGTAGCTGTAGTGCTCTCTTGACCCCCCCCATGGTGACAGAACATGGCACCTTTCTTGGTCCCCTAGAGAAGACCTGCAGACCAAATGGGAGTATTTCCTGAGGCAGTTCAGTCCGTGGCCTATCAGATTACTTGTGGTAATCAGCAAATTAAAGTGACACAAGGAGTTGTCAAGGCTCATTGAAAAAGCTTTAAACTAGATTTAAAGGGGAAATGGATAAAGCCAGGGTCACCAGAGATAAGCCGGGAACCCTGTTGTTCTGTTTTCACAGAATCATTGGGGCATTCACAGCTTCTGAGGGCAACCTGTGCCAGTGCCTCAAAACGCTCACCACCTTCAAAAGAATTTTTTTTCTCGTATCTAATCCAAATATTTTTTACTTTGAAGCCATTCCCCCTTGTCTTTTTACTCCATGTCCTTGTAAAAATTCCCTTTCCAGCTCTCTTGTAGACTTGCTGCAGGTACTGAAAGGCTTCCCTGAGATATCCCTGGATCTTCCTTGGCCTGAACAACCCCAACTCTCTCAACCTTTCCTCATAGGAGAGGTATTCCATCCCTGTGATCAACACAGTGGCGTCCTCTGCACTCACTTCAATTGGTCCTGTGCTGAGCACCCCAGAGCTGGATGCAGTGTTACATGTGGGATCTCACCAGAGCAGACTAGAAGGACAGAATCTCCTCCCTTTCCCTGCTGGCCACGCTGCTATTGATGCAGCCCAGGACACAATTGGCTTTCTGGGCTGTGAGTGCACATTGCTGGGTCATGTCCAGCCTCTCACCCACCAGCACCCCCAGATCCTTCTCAGCAGGGCTGCTCTCAATCTGTTCATCCCCAGCCTGTGCTGATACTGGGAGTTGCCCTGACCCAGGTGCAGCACTGTGCACTTAGCCTTGTTGAACCTTATGAGTTTTCCATGGGCCCACTTCTTGAGCTTGTCCAGGTCCCTCTGGATGGCATCCTGTCATTCAGGGGTAGATTTGGGGGTGTTGTTTAATGGCTGAACATGAGCCAGCAGTGTGCTCAGGTGCCAAGAAGACCAGTGGCATCCTAGCTTGTATCAGCAGTAGTGTGGCCTGCAGGACCAGGGCAGTGATTGTCGCCCTGTACTCAGCACTGATGAGGCCACACCTCAAGTACTGTGTCCAGTTCCAGGCCCGTCACTTCAAGAAGGACATTAGGGTGCTAGAGCATGTCCAGGAAAGGACAATGGAGCCAGTGAAGGGTCTAGAGTATAAATCATACAAGGAGCAGGGGGGAGGAGGTGTTTATTCTGGAGAAAAGGAGGCTCAGGGGTGACCTTGTCACTCTCTACCACCACCTGAAAGGAGGTTTTAACATGGCGGGGGTTGGTCTCTTCTCCCAAGTAATAAGAGGTGGGACAAGAGGATATGGTCTCAAGTTGTGCCAGGGGAGATTTAGACTGGCTATTTGGAATCAAGTGTTGTCTAGCATTGGAACAGCCTACCCAGAGAAGTGTTTGAATCACCATCTCTGAAGGTATTTGAGAAATGTGTAGATGTGGTGCCTGGGAACATGGTTCTATGGTGGACTTGGCAGTGCTGGGGTTATGTTTAGATTTGATGATCTTAATAGTCTTTTTCAGCCCAAATGATTTTGTGAAAACAGATCAACAGGGTTGAAGTGACTTGCTCAGGTTTATGCAGTAGTTCAGTGAGCTGAGATTACAGCCTTCCTTCACACTTGGGTATTGAGTTTTGCATTCTTCGTGTTCGCCCTATATCTATTCAGCTGTACTCTTGAGCTCTAATAGGGGTACTCAGGTGATTTCCTTGTGTTGTGCTTTCTACAGTTACAGTTCCTTGAATTAAGTTTGTGTTTGGGGTTTTGAAGAGACATGGTTGTTGTCTTCAGCTGTCTTAAACTGTCTTGCTTGAATAGGTAAAGATGATATTTGTAAAGATGATACTACCTATGGTAAACTGTCTTCTTCGTTATAGAGTCTGGCATTCTTTTTTCTACAAAATTGTGTTTTATGTGTTTAGGGAGAAACTCATTCGCCTTCAGCATGAGAACAAGATGTTAAAATTGAACCAAGAAGGTTCTGACAATGAAAAGATTGCCTTGTTGCAGAGCCTTCTTGATGATGCAAACTTACGGAAGAATGAACTGGAGACAGAAAACAGGTAAGAATTTTTGTCCTCTGTTTCACTTGACTTTTCTAATAATACCATATACTTTTGACTGTACTGTGTCCAATGCAGGCATCCCCAGGACAAGAAACACATGGACTTAGTGGAGTCAGTACTGTGAAAGGCCACAGTGGTGTGATTACAGGACTGCTGTGTCTTTCATGAGTAGAATCTGAAGGATAGAGACTGTGTAGCATGGAAAAGAGAAGGCTCAGGGTGGATCTTATCAATATATCTTACCAAAGTATCTGATGGGAGAGTCTAAAGGAGATAGAGCTAGACTAGACTCTTCTCTGTGATGCTCAGTAAAAGAGCAAGAGGCAGTGGGCAGAGCTTAAAACACATTTTATTTTGTCTGAATGTAAGAACATACTTTTTTTTTTTATTTTGCTGTGAGGGTTGCTGAACACTGGATTATGTTGCCTAGAGAGGTTGTGTCCATCCTTGGGGATATTTAAAACTCAACAGGACATGTTCCCAGGCAACCTGCCCTAGCTGACCCTGCTAGATTGAGGCAATCGTCATACAGATATCCATGGGACCAGAAAGTGCATCTGAGCATGCCACAGTAGTTGGCTGTTATTGATGTGAGGCTGCTCTCTATCTAACCTTCCTCTGTCTCCCCCTTCAATTGGGTAAAGCACGTGAAGCCTGGGAAAAGGTAAATGCTGCACTCACCTTCAAGAAGAGCAAGAAAAAGAGTATGAAGAACTACAGAGACTGGTCAGCCACAGCTCACTTTCTGGGAAATTCATAAAGCAACTCCATCCAGAATCTGTTTCTAGTTGCATGAGGGACAAGAAAATAATTGGAAAGGTCAACATGAATTTATTCAGAGCAAATCATGCGTAACTAAACCAATTGTCTTGATGATGATATGACTGCACATCTGAAGAAGGGTGAACAGAGGATGGTACTTAGCTTAGCTTCAGCAAAGCCTTTGACACAGTGTCCCATGGTATCCTTATGTTTAGAATGGTGGTTAGATATAAACTAAAGAAGTGGACACTAAAGTGATCAGAAAATTGGCTGGACAGTGGTTGGACAGCTGAGTCTAATATGTTATTGTTAGTGATATGAAACCCAAGTGGCAACCAGTTCCTCAGGCGTCAATACCAGGACCAGTGCTGTCCATCACCTTTATAAACAGCTTGACTGATGAGAGGGACTACTCTCTCAGCAGGTTTGAGGATGGTACCACTTTGGGAGGAGCCACTGATATCCTGAAAGGGAGAGCTGTTATTCAGAGGTGCTCAACAGTACAGAGAAATGAGCTGATGGGAGCCCTGTCCCTGGCTAGGACCAGTAGGCTGTAGAGCAGCTCTGCTGCCAAAGCCTTGGGGTTCTACTGGGCAGCAAAGTAGGATGTGTTATCTGGGGACCTTGCAGTTGACTATGATCTTGACTGCCCTCAGCAAGGTGCAAGCAATCAGTCTGGGAAAATGATTGTTCACCTCTCATCGGTACTTAAGATATCACATCTGGACGTAACATATTTTGGATTCCCCAGTAGAAGGAAGAGGTGGATGTGTAGGAGTGCAGCAGAACACCTCTGAGGTGAGGGATGCTGGAGCACGTGATAGGGGGAGAACAAAATCAAGAACTGGGTTTGTCCAGGCCAAAGAAAAGGTGGATTAGAGGAGATCATACTGTCATCTGCATCTGCATGATGGAAAGGTGTCAAGAAGACAGAGTCAGGCTCTTCTCAAGAGAGTGTAAGTGGAAGGACAAGAGGCAACAGACGCAATATGGAGTACAGGTCTGAGCTCTAGAAGAGAAGCTCAAAGGCCTCTATCCTTAGAAGTGTCCAAACCTGGTACTGCATGTGGTTGCCAGCAATCTGCTGTAGGTGCACCTGCTTTAAGGAGGAGGCTGGATTTATACAACCTCTGGAGATCCCTTTCCAACCTACGGGTCTATAGGATTCTGTAACTGTAAAAGCAGTAAGCTAGCAGCTCTCACACAGTGAACTGATAGTTAGAAACTCCTGTTTCATGTGTATAGAAATGATTTCTGCATGCATTTATGTTGTCCTGGAAGAGTATCAGAATGTTCTGGATGACAATAGTAAATGTTTGTAAGTTTTATGTAAATTTTTTTGCGAATAAATTACAGTATTGCACCTGTTGTGTAGATAATCTGAAAACACCGGACACTAAAAATATGACTTCCTCTTGCAGTTGTTTGGGTTTTTTCTGAAAAACATATGTTGTTTCTGTTATCTCTTTCCTAGATTGGTAAATCAGAGACTTCTAGAAGTGCAGTCCCAGGTTGAAGAACTACAAAAATCTTTACAGGATCAAGGTTCAAAAGCTGAAGATGTAAGTAGAAATGTGCATCAAACTTACATTCGAATACTTACCATTTTTGAAACTTTGACCTTTTTGTAAAAAAAACTATGTAAAAGAAATATACACACAGATTTCTGATAGTTTTCCATATTTACTCGTGTGGTCTTATCACTAAATTGTGCTTCTCTAAATAGGATGTGAGATATTTGTGTAGAATAGAAAACCATCCTATGTAGAGAAGGTGTCAAATATGTTTTATTTGAATAATTGTGTCTGTTCCAATAGAAAACTTAGCATTTATTTAATTAGAATAGAGAGTTTTACAGGGAATTAGGGAAATGTTGATTCTCTGTGAATAAAGTATTTGAAGTTATTTTTGGTTTAGTTTTCTTAATGAGAATTAAGGCCTTTCCAGCCAGTGGAAGCTCTGCAATTGTTGATGTAAATGTATCTCATAATGGAAAAAAACAGGCAGACCAAAAAAGTAAAATAATTAGGCCCTCAACATCATGCAGCATTTTCTGTTTCTATATACAGAGTTAATTTTATTTTAAATGTAAGAATACATATTGCAGCTGAGTTACTGTGGAAAACAACTTTCAGTCTTCCACTCAAAAATTGTTTACCATCTTTTGTATTTGAAAAAAGAAGCTCTAGAACTTTCTTGAAAGCAGTGATTTGTTGGATTGTACATGCACAGTGTATGCTCACACTCTCACTGTATTGTGTTGCTAATTGGCAACAAATTTTAATGTGTTGCTTTCTATTTTTGTGGTTTTGTTTTAACTAATTTATATAAAATATGGAAGTTTCTACTAGCTGCTTATGTTCATTTAAGAGTGTGTTTAATTTAGCTTATCCTTTTAATTTTCAGAATAAACTATATGAATGTAAAACATCTAGTCGATTTCCAATAAGATTATTTTCCTAAGTAACTTAGGGCATATTTTAGAACGCATTTTAAAATAGGCCCATTCTGAGATGTTCTTTGTCTTGGTTATTGGCCAAAATCAAATTTTTCAGGATGAACTAGAATATGAAAAAATTATTCTCAGGCATTGACTATTGTAAATGATCCTTTTCTAATTGTATTCAGCTTTATTTACTATGATTTTAATTGTGTCCCTTTTTGAGGCTCTGGTTGGGACAGAAATTTAGGATGTGTCTGCGTCTCGCTTACAGGACTGATTGCAGCCTGTGTAGGTGCCATCTGAAATGATTCTGTTGACAGCACAACACCACGGCACAGCCTCTGTGTGTGCCAGGCAGCCCTTGTCAAATCAGAGCTGGCAAGTTCGTGGTGCAGTTGCTGCACTCACAAGCCTCTGTGTAGGTCTGACCATACCACTGGTGATTTGTGGGCCCTAATCCCATGGCCTGTTTCGCTTAGTCTGGTGTGTAGGATTTCATGTATTCCTAAAGAAGCAAAGGAGTGAGTGTAGACTCAGAGAAGGGTTGAGGATGCAAGAACCTCTGACGTTATGGTCACCACATGCAGTCTCCCTGACAAAGCAAAGCAAACCTCAGAAGTTAAACCCAGCTGCTTAAGTAGATGGAAGTTGGGGCTAACTGAGTTACCCATAAGGTATTAATACAAACAGAGGGATTCTTCAGAAGCATGAGAAAAAGTGTTAGGAGAGACATGGCGCACAGTTCATTAATAGATCATTTTCAGCACATTTCCTCTGTTTTTTCATTACTTTTCTGCAACAATGCACAGAAATCCATATTTTTATATACTTGGACTTTAAATGTGCTCAATCCAGAAAACTAAAGACTCCAGTTTAATTCAAAATTGTGTGATGAGTGATAAGGTCTGTTTTTTGTTGAGGTTTTGTTTGGTTTTAAAGTTGAAGTTATTTTTAGGCCTGTAAGTAGTAGAAGTACTACCCTAACACAGGCAAGTGTCATTGTGGAGAAACATGCTGTGTGCCAAGGTCCATACGGGGAAGCAGTTTGATTTTGTATTGAAGTGCAGTGGAAGGCAGCTGTTCAAAAGGTGTCGCTGCCACTGGGCCTGTAATGGGCACTGATGTGTTCTCTTGTGATGAATGATTAGTCCATCCTGGCTGTTGCCTTGCTAGCCAGGGAAAAGCCTCCTTACCCCAGCCTTCTGGACTTTAGGATCAACTCAGACATGTCTCGTGTGGTCAGAATAGGTTTGATTTATTGTCCTTTAGAAACCATAGTCATGTGGGGGCTGCTCAGCCGTTACCCCAAACAGTTTTGACTAAATCATTTGTATGCTTATCATCACTGTCCTTTCTCATCCTTGTTCTCATGTTCTCTGCCCTCATCCCTTCCTATATAAACACTGCCTTTAGTTACTTCTGCCCCACTTGCTAAGTCCATCCCACGCCTGATGTTTCTCATAATGTTACACATGCAAACTTGGTCTTATGTGCTGTTACTGACACAACACCTGCCTAGGAGGTCCCCACAACTCCGTTACCTGTGAAGTTTGGCCACTTTGCTCGTTTGGTGAAACACTGGTTGCCTGGAGAAGGTGTGGATGCCCCATCCATGGAAGCATTCAAGGTTGGGCAGGGCTCTGAGCAACCTGATCTCGTTGAAGATGTCCCTGCTTACTGCGGGGAATTTGGCTGAGACCTTTAAAGGTCCCTACCAACCCAAACAATTCTGTGATTACTCTTAACATGTGTGAAATCTGACCATCCCTTGTGGTGTTGTTTGTCACTTTCATCATCCTCTCACAGCCTTACCAGTTTCATCAAGCAGTTTTCTGAAGTGATGTCCCACAGTTTCCCTTACCCTGCTAAGTCAGCTTAACCTCAAGCCAGAGCCTAGCCATCTACCTGTGACATTAACATATAAAACAAAACCAAATTTTGTCCTGAAAAGGTAGACAGACCTGTTTCTTTGGCTTTTTAAGTATGAAAGAAATTTCCAGCAAAAAGACTTTTTTTCAGTATTTTTTTAATGCAAAAGAAAGATAGCAATTGGATACCTGTTTCCTAAAACCACACTGTAAAAAGTATTTTGTTCTGCTGTTTTGTAAGTGGAACTTGGCTGCAGCTGGAGGAAAAAGCAAATTACTAAGCGTGCATTTGCTGATTTTTACAGTTCTGTTATAGATATGTACTTCTATTATGAACAGATAAAACATTTTAATGAAGTTAAATGTAAAGCTGGGTCAAAATTAGATAAAGGTTTTGTTTGGGTTTTTTTGGTTTTTTTTTAGGTTGGGATTTTTATAGGAAACTTCCTATGATATAACAACAATTATAGTAATTACATTGTAGAAGCAGAAGATTTGTGTATGAGTCCTTAAAGCTTACTGAGGCTGCAAAAAAACCAGGAGTAATGTTTGCCCATTTTTAGAGTAATTTATTTGAATTTATCTACCTGGCTACAAGTATATACAGGATCTTTGGGTGTGTAAAATTACACATTTTATGTTTTAGTCTTTTTCCTAATCTTGTCTTTTGGGTAAATTGCTGTGGGTAAACTCAGTTCTGCTTCTTTTAGTTATTTATCACAATTAGTGCTATTTATCACAATTAGTTTCTTACTTGTGAGAACATGATCTGTTTTGGTGAGAGAGGGGTTACTCCCACAACAGTGCAGGTAGGAGGCAAACAAGTGCAGAAATACAGCAGGGGAGTGAATGTGGACTGGTAGTTGTGTCTGTGCCAAGCTAAACCCAAGTGCAATAGAAGGACGGCAAAAGAAAAGCTGAGTTCAGTTTTTATTAGGGAAATGGGCACTGCTTCCAACTTTTTCCTATCCTGTCCTAACCAACCAGTAGTCCCCTGAATGATCAGATATAAGTGGTGATGCCAGTTCAAATGGTTTGTGACCGAGAAAGATGCATACAAATATTTTTTTTGTTACAGAAATGGTGATGTTGCTACAGTTGTTCAGAGGACTGGAAAATTAAAAAGCCACATGGTCAAAACATGCAAATCCTTAACTGCTACAAATTTCTGACTGTGAAATCAATAGAGTTTTGCTGGCTTGTTTTTACAGCTCTCCACCTTGCTTATAGTGGCAGTAAGAAAATCTCATTTGAAATAATGTAAAAACACCCCCCAGGAATGTGATCAAAGACAGTATTTTGAAGTATAGCCAAGCTAAAAAGCAATATTTCTATTAGCAAGGTGTCTAAACCTATATTGAAAGAGCATTGGAGAAAAAACAATGAAGTAATTTTGTTGATGATTTTATCTAATAATTTGATGGTGATCTGGACCATCAGTCACGTGCTAAACCTCAGGCATGATTAGTACTGGATAAATACAAATCAATATGACATTTTCAGATTTAAATGTTCTACGTTGTTTTGTATTCAATCAGTGTGGCAATAACACAATTCAGCATCACACCACAAAAACACACACACATGCATCCCTTAATTTTTATTGTAGCCCAAGAGACTGCTTGTTTCCCTTCGCTTTGTTGGTTGTATGATTTTTATTTTAAAATGACTTTCCAAAATAGCAGTTGCTCTCTTTTGAAATTCTGTGTTTAAACACAATGATTTATAAATGTACTTCCTTATTATTTTTACATTTTTGGGTTTAGTGATGTGTTTTAGAAAATGTTACAGGATGAAATTGCTCATAAGAACAGAGGAAAAAATTGCGCATGTGTGAAAAAGTACATAGCTTTAACTTTTTCTGTTCATGACTTTCTAAATAGTTTCTTCTGTTGGCTGCTGTTTTGCTTTATACTAATGTCATCTCTGTTTCTTGGCATGGGCTTCTGCTCAAGGCTATTGTGAGTATGGCTTTCTATTTACTTAACACTACTTTCAGTTCATAGACATTTATTGGGTTTATTTTTTTTGAAAGATACTCACCCTGTATGAAGTGAGTTTAAAATTTAAAATTTTCCTCAAAGCTTTTATTTAAAGAGCTTATCTAAATGTGATTTAACCAGAAAGTGGAACACTGTAAGTTGTATGGTAATTTTTATGTGTCTGTAATCAGTAAAGATAAGAAACAGAGAAAAGGTAGAATTTCTGCTATGCTTCAGTCAGAAATACTCTACTCCTTCTGGTTTCTATGGGGATGGGAATTTACTTCAACTAATTTGCTACATGTCTTCATGCAAATTGCAGTGCAATGTTGGTAGGATAGCTCTTGCAAATTTTGCTGCACTTTTCAATTTCAGGTTAATTTACCAAGTCTAATTACAAAAGAACTGAACAAATTAAAACAATAGAATTTTGTCATTTATGGATCTTGCTTTTACTGATCTAGTTCCTGGGGAAATATTAGTAAGGTTCTAAAGCATTCTAATTTTACTGAAGTCACACAGTTGTGGAGAGAAAGATTGCTACCACAGAGGGTCCTTTATAGTTGTGATCTAAAACTGAAGTAATAAAGTTGTATTTTGATTAGAATGTCAAAATTACATGTTTTAAAATAATTTTAAAGTTATGCTAAAACTTCACAATATATTAAAATAAAATGTTTAACTTTCTGTTTTAGTCAATTCTTCTGAAAAAGAAACTTGAAGAACATCTGTAAGTATTTCTGTTTGCCTATTTTGTTTGCAATTTGAAATGGTGTGTTTTCCGTATGATAAGGAAGGCAGACAGAATCCTGGATCTGGAAAATATACAGCTCAGAGAAATTAGATAACACAGGAATGTTTGGGAATCTGCTGTTCAGATTCTATTTTTATTTCATACAGAGCCATTGTGAAAGCAATAAGACCCATGAAAAAAAACCATCATTTTGTGTTGGTTAGAAAACTTCACTTAACATTGTGTAAATCTTTGCTCTGAAGGACTAAGTAATTTTGTTCTAAGGAAAGCGTGTTATATATAAACAAAATTAATTTGTTTACTCTTTAGTATATATTATGACACAAAAGGTAATACTTTAGGGAGTCCTATCATTTTGTTGCACTATTTTTGCACATCTTTTACTTGCCTAAAATGCAAAGAGATGTTTGCTTTTTGACTGTCTTTGTTTCTGTTGCCTTTGGGTTTAGCCATTCTTTCTGAGTGTAATCTCCATTATCAGTATTCATTTTAGGCACTCACTGTACAACTAACTCTTAAAGAAACTGTTTCCTGTTGCAGTTCTCCATAGACCATATTTTTCATCTTACTTAACAAATATTTTCACAGTCACACTGTCACTTGTCCTCATGCCCTACAGCAAAAAAATCAATCATGCTCTCAGAAATGTATCACTCTCTGAGGATTTTCTGTACTGCTTAATGGTCATTCAAGCACAGTAATAATATTGGGAAAACAATATGTGCTTTTGTGGTTTGTAACAGTGAGAAGCTCCATGAAGCTAACAATGAGCTACAGAAGAAACGAGCTATTATTGAAGATTTGGAACCAAGATGCAATAACAGTTGTGAGTTACCTGTGCAGTCCATTTCTTTTCTTTGTAAAGTATTTCATGTGCAAGGTCTTTAATTTTAATACCTTAAGGAGGTGTCAGGTAAGCAAAATGTACATTTTTAGTGGAAGTGACATCTATGTTATTAATTTCTCTGAAAACTGTGGTGACCAGAAAGATGGTTCTAACACTTGACGTGCATGGGATAACATTTTAGAGACCACTGTAGTAAGAAATCATAGAATCACAGAACATTAAGGGATTGGAATGGACCTTAGAGATCATCTAGTCCTGACCCCCACTGACAATGGTCATAGAAATATCAGGTCACTGTCATAACTGCCACTGAACTTCAGATGTTCAGAACTGTCATGTCTCATAAGACCCTAATTTAGAAGATCCTTTCTACCATCACGATTTTATTTTTACTTTCAATATATATTCCTTCAGTGTGTTTTCAAAAATATGTTGTAATATATATATATATATATATATATATATATCATATTGCTCAGATGGTATCCAGCACCCAGAGTCTAGCTGGGTTTTAGAACCTTACTGCTACATGTTTTCCAGAGAAGTAATGAAGGAGGTAGTTTGGTTTTTTTTTTCCCAGGACTATTTATAATAGAACAACTTAAAAGATTGTAACCGATGGCAGTTTTTTTGATTTGTGGTAAAAAGATTTCATTCGTAACAAGGTGGTGGAAAAAATAGAAAAAGATAGAGTTTTCTGAGATCTGAAAAGTTGTATAAAGGTGTAAAAGTAATAGTGGCTCGACATATACACTTATACCAACGCAGGAAAAAGCTGTGCAATGAAATTGTCCTACTGGTCTCCATTGCTGCTTAAGAAAATATGAGGAGAAAATTATATTTCTATATGTCATATTTCTAATAAACTGTGTCCAGTGTTACAGTTTAGCAGATTTAAGCAAGAGTTGTGCCTGGTAAGAATTATTCCTCTTACAAAATAGGAAAAATCATATTTGTCTGTATTACATGCCAAGATATTATAGAAGCTGTAAGTCGTTAGTAAACTAGTTTTCTAAGTGTGTTCAGTAAAGAGATTTATTGATTATTCCATTTCTCTTTATTTTTCATAATTTCAAAAAGCAAAATTTGTGTAAAAAAAAGCTGTCTTATGAGATTATATGGGAGTACACATTTGTAGTGTGTTTCTGAGCTGTTCAATAATTAAAATTGTGATATCTGCTAAATCAGGTTCCTTATGTCAGCTTCTCTTAACTGAAATATACTTTAGCTGTGTCTTAAATGTCTGTTGTAAAACATTAAAATATGCATAATATAATGATGATATTTTCCAATGTGTCCCTCTCCTGACATAAAGCACTTAAAATTGAAGAATTACAAGAAGCTTTACGGAAGAAGGAGGAGGAAATGAAACAAATGGAAGAACGATACAAAAAGTATTTGGAAAAGGCCAAAAGTGTAAGTCGATGTGTTTCATGTTAATCATCCTGCTCTGACAGACTGCATTCCATGTGCACTTTGTGGGAATAAAAATAAAGGAGTTATCTGTATACACACTACTAATAAGTAAAAAAGAAGGAAGGTCCAGTGAGTTCTTTTTATCTTCTTATTGTTACGGTACCTAATATGGATTAATTCTGCAGAAGATTTTACCCCATTTTTGTGACTCTTTTATTGATGCTTTTTCCGAGTAAAGGGATCTTTTTAACTATACCACCTTTTCATAGCTGTTACATTCAACTGATGATATTCAGCATTCCCCTTGCCTTTATCTAACACATGCTTCTGTCGAGAAGGTGACTAATATTTAAGTATGATATTGAGGGTGTGGGTAAACTACCAGCTTTGAAATTACAATATTGTGTTCTTAATCATAGTCACATTCCTTCTCTTACTATACTTTGATATTTTGTTTGAGTTTCTCAAAAGCATATCAGTGTCTTTGTTCATCTGACCATGGTGTAGTATCATTTGCATTGGATACGTGTCATTACATTGGAATCTGCAAGTAGGTTCCTAATTTGGCAAAATTTAATCGTGTCTTCCTTTACTTCTGTGTAGTTTCCTGAATGACTGATGTTTCAAAAGTCTTCAGGAAATCTAATCAAATAATTTTTTTTCAATTTTAACTTTTTGTAATCTTTTTGTCAAAAAAAAAAATTATTTTTTTTCCATTTCTTATTGTTGTTATTGTTGGTTTCTGGTGGGGGTTTTTTGTGAAGATCAGTAGAGTCATTATACTCTTCCACTGTACAAAGTGCATTCAGGTCTAACATGTATTTTCTTAGAAAAATAGCATGCTTTTATAGAATCATAGAATCATTAAGGTTGGAAAAGACATCCAAGATCATAGAGTCCATCCTTTGACTCATCACCACCTTGTCAACTAGACCATGGCACCAAGTGCCACGTCCAGTTGCTTCTTGAACACCTCCCGGGATGGTGACTCCACCACCTCCCTGGACAGTCTGTTCCAATGTTTAACAACTCTTTCCATGAAGAAATTCCTCAGATGTTCTAATGCATCATGGTTAATGAGAGAAGTAGATGTGTTTTAAGTCACATTTTTGTTTCTTAACCTGACTTAAAAGGTCCTTAATCCTTAACAAGATTGCTTTTTCAGGATTTAGTGAAAGACAAACTGGTTTTCTTTTACAGGTCATCCGCACATTAGATCCTAAACAGAACCAGGGTGCTGCTCCTGAGATTCAGGCACTGAAAAATCAGTTGCAGGAGCGGGACAGAATGTTTCATTCTCTGGAGGTAGTAATCCTTGTGTTTTGTGGCAGATGATCATTGTTTTTTAGTTAGAGACTTAACACTTTTATTATACTTTGGTTTTAAATCTATGCTTTTTTATGTTTTGTAGAAAGAATATGAGAAAACAAAAAGTCAAAGAGAAATGGAGGAAAAATTTATCGTTAGTGCCTGGTACAATATGGTAAGAATCTACCAAACTTTTTATTTGAAAAAAAAAAGAGGAAAGAAGATGTTAATATTACTTGTTTATGGCTTGTTTATAACAGTATTCATTCATTGACAGTAATTTTGGTTGGAAGGCATTTTCCAACACACAAACACGGAAACAAATACTTTTTAGTAATTTTAAGCTATCACCGTATAAAAATATGTTCCTGTGATAACCTCGGGGTAAATTAAAAGGAACATGCTTGTAATTTTCAAGTTTTAAAATCAGAAATGGCTCAGATCAGTGTTCTGTAATCCCAGACTTTCAATTACACAAAATTACAGTGCTCAAATTTACTTTCTTCTTTGATTCTTTGCTGTTTTTAATGAAGGGGCACTATCAAAGCACTTCAGCTTACTTGCTGCAGTAAGTGCTCTGAAAAATTACCCATTTAACTTCAGAGCAAGTTTGGCCACATACCGATGCTGAGGACAGCAGCAAGACCCTCACCTAAATTATTCAAACAGTAAATCTGAATAGAAGAGGTGACCTGTGCAGCCATACAGCTTTTGCTAGGCCTGTATGCTGGGAGAGTTGTCACCTTCATCAAATGTGTTCAAGACTTCTCTTTGGCATACTAGTTGCATTGAAATTGTTCTTCATATAGAAAGACTCCTTAACCTGTGTAACTTCCATGTTTTGTTCTGCTCCACCATAAAATTCGAATTCCTCCTCTCTGTATTCCCTCGGAAGAGTTTCCTTCTTGCTGTTCTGCATCTTTGTTACGTCCATGAATGGCAAGCCCAAAAGCAGAGTGTTTGAATTGTTTACATACTTGAAGGCATGTTCAGGTGACTAGTGTCCTTGACCAGTTTTATAACCTTAGTCCCACTGACAAGCAGGAGACAAGCCTGAGCTAAGACCTGTCAAGCTAAGACCTGTCTCAGTGTTCAGTGACCTGTCATGAACACTGAGATGATCTCTGATAGCTTTGTCTGTGTCAAGCCTTTAATTAGCCTCTGCTTTTATACACAACTGCACAAGCCATCACAGCTTTCCTGCTTGCATTTATGCCTCATGAAAACATACTGTCTCTCAAGATGTGCTCCTGACATATGAGCTGGTGTTTTCAAAGGGGACCATGATACCTAAACTATTTTCAGAGGAAAAGTACTTTTCTAGCTCAACATGCTAAACAAGCCGGGGATGGGGGGAGCCCTTTTGAAAAGAATTGTCTGGTTGCCGTGAGTTTATGTGGAGAACCATATCTTGAGATCTTAGACAATTGCTCTAAACCTGGACAGCAATTGGGGTGGGGAGGGGGAAGAACTCCACACTGAGTGTTAGGGGAGAATATGTTACCTTTATCCTTGACAATGCGGTGCTTTGTGTATGGAATTCAAGGTGGTCAGGGTTGGTGAAGAAGGAGATAATAAACAAAATGCAAATGATTAAAGTTGTTCAGTGTTATGTGTTGGTATTCACTGAGAAGTTTCTCTTTGTCCGCAGGGGATGACTCTGCACAAAAAAGCAGCAGAAGATAGACTGGCTAGTACAGGCTCAGGACAGTCCTTCCTGGCTAGACAAAGGCAAGCCACGAGCACAAGGAGATCTTACCCTGGTCATGTTCAGCCAGCAACAGCAAGGTAGAGAAGCCTTGCCTTTAGAAAGAAAACTGCCCTGTGATCCAGGCCACTTCTGTTGCAAGTGACAACATTCAAGGAAAATAAACCAGCATCCTTTCTCTTTCTCCCTTGTTACTGCTATTATTTTACAGTTCAGGAAAGGGTTTTATTATGGTTTCTCATTGTTCTGTAATGCCCTTTGCTTATATTTTTGAAGTCCATTTCTCTCTCTCTCTCTCCCTCTCTGCATTTTTTGAATGTGCCAAAATTTTAAAACCATCTAGAGGAGTGCTGTATCATAACAGTCTTATTTGTATGAAGCCTGGTCTCTTATGAAAAGCCTTATGTGGACCATGTAACAATGTAAACTTCTTGTCACAGTTGGTACTTTTGTGCCATAAGGGTTGCTATGCTTTATATAAGACTGTTCTTGTTCAAAGGGAATTAGGCTTTTTATTTCATGTGCTAACCCGTTGCTTCAGAAAAATGCTGAAATCTCATTACAGAAATGCAAAATTAGAATATAATGCTATTGTGAAATATATTTCCTGCTACAAAACTTACCAATGCAAAAAAGAATGATTTTTTTTTTCTTTTCAAACCTCCTACATGCGAAGTTTGTTCTTATTCTTGGCATTTGATAGGGAAGCAGGATGATTTTTTTCAGGTTTTTCTTTATCAACTGGTGTTACCTCTTTTGCTCATAGAGATGAATATTTTCAAATGGTTTGTTCCACTCTTCTTGGTCAAGTGTACACTTAAATACATATTCTAAAAAAGTGGAGAAATACTTAGAATGCTCTAATACGCTACTGCATCATCCATTTAAAAAGGACATTTGTTTTAAATTTTATAATTATGGATGAGCAACACATAATGGATCAAGGCCCCGATTAATATTGTTAATGTATTCCAGTTGTCATCCCCTACTAAAATACTTGCTTTTAATATATTGATTCTGGGGATAATTGTATTAGTTGCCTTACTAATGGTACCAGTGCCTTCAGGTGAGTTTGTTGCTGACTTTGTTGGAAACTGGCTGTGATTTGTTGTACTGCCTTTTGAGTATGTAGCTTCTTAATTGTTGTAGTACCTTCATGTTCATCAGTGGGGTGGATGGAGGTTCCTCCTATTTAGGTTCTGTTCCTACCAAGTTGTGCTTCTTCTCCTGACTAATTCTCTGCATTCCCTATCATTTTTGTTGAAGAATTTTTGGACACAGAGAACCTGAATATTGGTTGAAACTTCCATATACATACATCTTGTTGTAATTTAGTTTTAAATAGTTTTCATTTAGAGACTGTTTGGACCCTGATGCACATGCAGTTGGTTTATAAATTTATTCTTTTACTTTATTTTAATGCCCTCCCAAGTGAAGACATTTTGTTATAAATCCCTTTAGAGAAAATACATAGTAGCATTTATTAATCATCTGAATGTCTATGTTAATTCACAAGTTGGGTAGAATGAGCAAAGGATAATTAAAACAAGCACACATAGATTAAAGGGTAATAAACAGATGAATGACATTTTTAGGTACTGCTGTTTTATTCTCAAGTACATGATCTGTTTCAGTCTAGGCTAAGAAATACATTCAGTATGTGTCTGAAAATAATTTTCAGTTCTGGTTATCCACCCCCCCCCCCGAAAACAGATACTGAATTGTACTGATTGAATGTAGCTTTACTCCTCACATTTGGAAAAAGATGGTTTTCTGAAAGTTCTCTTTACTTATTCAGGGTATGACAGGTCTGGGCTGTGGTTGCAAGGATTAGGTAAGACATTGCAAAGTTTCTTGTGTGCAGGAAGGTAACAATGTGAAGGAAGTTGAGGACAATTTCTGTAGCTCAGTGAGGTGATACTCATTTTGCTGTCTCTTACTGAGATACAGAATGCTGTGTGTGTTGTCTGGCAAGATGACTACAGTTTTTGTGGGACATCTTTCATTGATCTTGTCGTGAAATGTATTCTAGTAATTTGAAGAACTGTTTGCCGCATGCTGTGCGTGAACAGGAGCAAGTAAGATCAGTTGATGTTCTTGTTTGAGATTACAGCATTTTATATCAGAGAAAGAACCTAAGAATACCTAAAGCTTCCTTTTTATTTTAATCTGTCTGGCCTTTTCTGTTACTAAACTGCCAAAGGGTATTTGTGAAAGAAAGGAATGTGACCTTAACGGGGAGCTTTATCTCTTAATTTTGTGTCAAAATTTAATTCCCTATTGCTGTTAATCAAGCACAGGTCTAAAATAACTAGGACATGGTCTGCAAACTAGAATACAACTAGTTGCTTTTATTTTGTTAACACTTGTTTTACCATTTTGCCTCCAAAGTTTGGATGATTAGTTAGGAGATGAACAAATGCTGGTTAGAGGCCTTGTCTTTTCCTTTTACTTTCCAATCTCTCATGACTTCTTTTGCTTCTTGGTGGTTTTTGGCTTTTCTCTTCTGCTTTGTGATTCTGTCTTTCCTTTTCCCTCAAGATAAGACACTGAAGTGTTTTCTGTAGTTCCCTTCAAGCATATATAGCATCATTATGTAGCATCAAAGAGCAAAACAAGACTAATATTGAATCTAAACTTTCCTGTTGCCCACAGTGATTGTTGGGCAAGTGAACAATCATTATGTCTTTTGAGAATTTACAAACCTGCAGAAATTCTGGTATTTCCCAGAATTTTTGCTGAATATAAAAACCTAAAAATGTACTGCACTCTTACAGAAATATACTTGATTGTTGTCCAGTTCCAGTAAGTCATTTGTTCTGCAATAAGGAATTTAATTCCTTATTCTTTAGCATTTTAGTTCTATTACTTGCTGCATGCATCCATTGTTAATCTTTGGGTGTGGATGAATGCAAGTGGTTAACATCATTAAACCTCCTCTTTCACAAGAACAGCTTCTTTATTCGAAGGGTTCAAGCTTCATTATTTTCCTTGCTTGTTATGTAGCTTTGGAAGTAGTGTGGTATTAAGAAAAAGAAGAAGCTCGGAGTGTAACTCCAGGGAATAAACACATATATAGGTGAGCCACCAGTGAATGTTCTTTATTTGTCTTATCTTCAGTAATAAAAGAATATAAGCAATAAACCCAAGCTATAAAACAGAATTCTCTCATTACATTGGATAGTTCTAGAAAGTTTTTAGGGATACTTTTTTCCTGAGGCAATAAAGACTGTTTACATCAAAATTGTTGTTGGTAATTGCTAAAGCAATGCTATATCCTGTCCTGATACACTACAGAAAAAAAACAAACCTACAACTGAGCTTGAAGAGAAAAGGTTCTCTAGGGCAGTGATGAAACAGCTGAGGAGTTCATGAGAGGACTTTGCTGAGCACTGTGCTGAGGGTCTGCCCAGAATAATCTTTCTGACAGATTTTAATTAATACCAATAAAAGTTAACAGATAAATGGATGAATATTTTCATTGTTCAGAGCTGAAGCTTAGTTTCTGACCTTAAAGAATGTCTGTGCAGTCCAGTTTTTATACTTCTGTGGGGAGTTAAGTTGTTAGCGTATCCGATCAGGCATTACAGAGAAAAAATACTCAAGTTTCTTTTCTTGATAGCAACACATAGCCACTTGGATCATAACACGTATTTTCTAAGTGCTAGGAAAACTGAAGTAATCTAATTTAAAGGTTGTGTGTTCCATCCACAGTGTAAGGGAAAACAAATGTCTGGAGCACAGAGCTTTACACATTGCAAAATGAAATAAATATGTAGTGGCTACAGGATGCCTTTCATTCTGTCTTTGAAAATAAGCAAATGCTTAAATAAGCAAAAGCACTTGTCCTGTTCCAGTGTCACCCGAGTTAGCAGTAATGCTTCTGCAAGTTTTCTGTGGCTTTCTGTTCTGTAAGGGGCACTGGCAATTTTATAATCATTGTGTATGAAAGAATTAACAGTGAATATTCCTATTACTGCTTTATGATGATCCTAAATAGTAAGTGGTATGTGCCAGCTGTCAAGAAAATTTAAAAGGATTTGGCAATTTTAAAGTCCTTGGTATATTGTCATATGCAGGTAGCTCTTGCTTTTCCTTGGTTCTCTAGTATATTAGACTATACACTTAAAAACATGTAATCATCCTTTCATGGATGAATTTTAGGGGTTTAATTGTCCTAATGTGTTGACATTTTTTTGTAGATTTGGTAGTTGGAAAACATTTTGGTGTCACCGTTTGATTTCCTTCCTGTTAGTGATTTGGAGGAAGACTGTCCTGAATGTGGCTAACTTTTCTTTTTATTATGAAGCAAAACAGGATCTGAATTTTACTTATTGTATAGGGATTTTTTTTTTTTGTTATTGACCAACATTTTGACTTCTTGCAAGGATTGATGAGGGAGGTATTTTTGCACTCAAAGTCAGCTATGCAGTACTGACTTCCTATGGGTTTTTGCACACGTGTTTTAGGTAGAATGTGGACTCTGTGTTTTGCATTAATGTTGTGTGAATAGCTTCAGTATCTCCAAACCAATTTTAGCAAATTTTGCAGGTGTTTTCCTCAACTGTTATTGCATAAATAAATAGCTAAAAAAGTTTACTATGTCAGAATATACTTTCAAGTCATGGGTTTTTTTTTTTTTTGGAGCAGCCGTGAGACTCTAGGTAGGATCCCAGCCATACCTCCAGTTTGTCACTTTTAAGGAATCAAAAAAATATCTTGGCATGAATGATGTGCATTGCCTTACTCCTGTGATCTTTCTTCCCTCTGGAAGTCTGGAAAAGTAGCAGAAGCTTATCAGTGACCCTGCAGGCTATTACTGAAAATAAGGTGTGATTTTTTTCAGTTTGAAAATGGAGGAGACAGATGCAAGCAACTGTTCAATAAAAAAATGGGAAGAGTAGTGTATCTTCCACCATTTTGCATTTTGGTGTTAATTTTAAAAGTAATGAGAAAGAACCTTTGCTTTTTGAGCTAGGTTTTTCTCCTTTTTTTTTTTAATTAATTTTTAATTTTAACTGATTATTTAATTTTAACTGATTACTTAATCAGGGCAGAAACTGTCATTGCCAGCCAGAGCAACCTCAGACTTCTTGCATCTGGTACAGTGAAACCCTGGAAATTCTGACTCTGCTGCCAGCTCCACTGTACCATTTGGAATTGTTGAGGATTTAACTTTGTCCTCTGTTTTATCTTGACTTTATTTTTGTGGATTCATTAAAATATTGGGACATAAAGTTCATTTTTAAAATGTATCAGCTCATTGAATTAGGTAATGAATGAGTCTTGATTGAGGACCTTTAGAAAACTTGACAAATCCCATGGTGCAGCGATATAGCCAAGCCAGTTTTCCAGACAAATTGTCCTGGTGTCAGATTATAGTCAGTGGATCAACAGGAACTCATACTAACTGCTACAGCTGAAGTCCTCATCTATTAGTTGCTGGGGGATGGTGTTGGTGTCAACTTCACTGAGGCCCAGACCGTAACCTTCAACTTTGGGCCTTACCAAGGTAGTGAAGGACTATCTTGAAATATATCTCTGTATTAGTTGGCTCTGGTGGCAAATCAGGAATTTCCTCTGCTGCTGTTTGCTGTGTGTGTGAAGTCATTTGGAAAATTAAATATCCTTCAATCCCCTTTACACTGTGTGCCAGTTCCAGACTGGAAGCAGATTCCGTTTGTCGGATAAAAATTTCTTGCTCCTGTTCTGCTGACTTGGATCTCAGAGACTGATCCATACAACATGAAAAATATTGTTAGTAGAGGGAAATCTAAGACAATTGGGAAGCCTCTCCTTTCTGGTGGTGACTTTATTCATTGTTTTGCATTAGGGAGGTCCTAATGCAAAGGGCTGAAGTTAGAATAGCATATTTCAGAAGGAGGAACGTGCTTGTTTTAGTCGTTACAAAAGCAGTCATTTGCCAACACTTTGAGGAACTGTTAACCTACCATAGCATGGTACAAACACTGCAAAAGCAAGGGTTTCCCCAGGTAAACAGCAGTTTGTTATCCAAAAGGAACTTGAATCCCCAATGATTATACCTGCCTTAAAGGCCAGTTGTTCTGTTGCCCTGCTTGTGTTGTTAGACTGATCATGAAAATGAGCAGGGTTTTAAGAGAAAAATACCAAATGATGTAATATTTATGGGGCTATAAAATAGTCGTAATGAGACCATCAGATTTTTTTATTTGGGTTTGAATGTAACATCAATTATGTAATTTGAAATTTTGTAAAGCAAGAGATTATTATTTTCAGTCACCAAAGGTTAGTAAGCCAGAGAGTAAACTTATTTCCTGGAGCCATCGGTGGTTTTGAGAGAGATTTTAAAGCTTTTATTTAGAAGTATAGGTAAAGTTTGGGAATAGTTATAAGGATTACATTCTAAAGCCACGATTTTTAAAATCTGTAGTCTGCTTTCTATTCTCTCTGTCATTCCTCCGTAGACACACATTATCTGCTGTATAAACTCTCTCTTTCTGAAGATGCTGGAGATGCAGTGACAGGTTATGCTCAGTGAATTTACCCTCACATCTTGCATCTCTCTTGTCTTCTGAAGTGTTGCTGCCTCGACAGGTAGCTTTAAAATAGAGAGAAAGAAGTTGACAGCCAACTTTTTTTTTAGAACAAGATTAGAATTTTTAGTCAGGAAAGGGCACTGACAGATGACTTTTTTACATCCTTGAAAGATAATACAGTGTCCTGAGTTTACAAGACCTCTCAAAAGTACTATTTACTCGAAGAGAAATCTCCAGTGTCACTTCCTGTGTGCAACAGGACACTTGAAGTGCTACTAAATAGTGAGTCTGAACTAAATAATAGCCAGGTGAGACTAAAGGAGTAGATTATATTCATTTATGCACAATAGAATAGGTACCTGCTTACGTAGCTTGAACTTATAATTTTTTATAGAACAACTACAGTGATCTTCATATTATTAATCCTGAATTCTGTAACTTTATGCACCCAAGCAGTGCCAAGCAAGCTTAACAGACAGTGATTGCTCAAAATACACCCTCAAGGTCTGCTTTGAATGTGTTAAATTTTTTATTCCATTTGATACATGTTTCTATGTTTCTGTTTGTTTTTCGTCTATAGTTAGTATTCTGGGTGGATGAATGAGAAGGGAAAAAAGAGGGATACACAAGCTGCAGGACTTGTAGCAGCTTTGTCATAAATATTCTTTCTTCTCTATTTAACCTGGACTTTCCCATCACAAGAAGCATTCTTAGAATCATTTATGACCAGTGCAATACAAGGGAGAAGGAACTGAGGAGAGAAACGGGCTCTGACTTCAGTCTGGAGAAGCCAGTTTGCTCTTTGCAATGCAAAGACCCAAATGCCCATTTAGTGCTGTGCCAATGCTGTGTAGGGACATCTGTGCCCTGGGGAAGCTGAAAGCACCATGGCTGTGTCAGTAAAGCAGTCCATTCTGGTCACAATGCCCAAGAAAGAGGGTGCATCAGTAAGGATGGAGAAATATGTCAGCCTCTCCAATTCTCTTCCGAACTTCTGCAGCATTGTGATGTGCTCTTTGGACTGCTCAGTGGCTCCTACTCAGCTTTACTTTAACAAGAGTACATATCATTTTCTTGCAATTCCAACCTGTATTTGCCTGCAGTAAACAGAACTTGCCAGTGCAGCACAGCAGTGATGCTGAGTTGTAGCCTCATGCACCAGATGAGCTCTGATGAAACATAAATGCCTAAAGTCTTCAGTGGTGCTCAGAGTTGGAAGACTCAGACAGTCATTGTGACCCTGATTGTCTTTTCATACGTAACCACGTGCAGTGTTGGACAGGCACCTTTCACTTTATATTGCTTTGGTTCTTTAACTGTTGTACTCACAGACAGCAGGAATGCCTGAGACTTTCTCATTGCTGTATAAACCTAGTTTCCATAGCTGTAGTGGCTGAGAATGGTGCCCTGAAGGACTTTACTCAGAAGTGTTTAAATTTGTCTGAATTACAGCTAAATTTAGATATTGCCCAAGGCTGTTTTGTTGCTTTTTCCAGTTATTGGCCTGTAACCTTCCTGTTAATTTGAAGAGTTGCTCTGGCAAAAATGTTTTCCCATGAATTTGCACCACTCTTGAGACAGCCTTACTAAACTGCTCTGAAAAATACCTGTTCTATTCTCTGTTGGTTTTTTTTTTTTCAACAGTAATATGTTATCTGCTTTTTAACTTTCTTCTTTATTCTTTTATTTGCAGTGATGTGGTTGCATGACCTGCAGCATTATTATAACAGGGACTGTTCAGTGCATGACTTGCTTTTCTGTCCAGACTGCATAACCAAAACTTAACCAGTTCTACACTTAAGACTCATGGCCATCCGATTTCAAAGGGGGATCTACTTGCAGAGAAGCTTACCATCCTGGGAAGTGGCTTTCCCATTTCCCGCTTCCATTTACTCTTTCTCTTCACAAAAGGTCTCCTATGAGGCTAGAAGAGAGGAAATCCAGTATTCACAACTCAACAGGAGGCATTCTGCAAACTGACAGAGCACTGTCAGCTCTCCATCTTATTTCCGCCTGTCCACTTTATTTAATTCTGATTAACAGTATTAACACACAGACTTCCTGCAACATTTTCATATGCTGAACTATAAAAATCTAGTCTTAATGAGTTCCTAAAAAAGGCCTTTTGGTTACTGTTAAAATTTCAAAGCACCTGCACCCTTAAAGGATCCACTTTGAATCTTTAAATAAATAAAGTAAAGCGAAGGAGGTGTTTTACCAGGAGAAATGACTAATGAGTTGCTGCTTGGCGATCCCATCTTCCTTAGAAAACCAAGCAAGTTTCATCTGATAATCTCCGAGCCAGTCAAACTACCGGGTGGTATTTTGTTCACAGGCACTGCCTGCTTCCTTAATATGTATATACACAGTAGTTTGTGGCTGTTGTATTTTTCTCTCTACATTGAGCTGTATTGTTCGTTTATATCAGAAACTTTTTTTTTTTTTCCAATCTGTGTACAATTGTTAAAACAATCTGAGGAAAGAACATGAATGGAGATAAGTATGAAAGTCATCTACACTTTCATATTATGCAGACTGTCCTTGCCAGTTTATATTTTGGGTCGTTTGTCTTTCACCTGTACTGGTTTTTTTCCTTTCCTTTTTTTTTTCCTCCTATCACAGTCTTAGCTATTTAATTTCCAATTGCACTAGCTTGGCTTTTCTTTGTATTATGAAGTTTAGCTATAAGATTTGCCATATGTAGACAGTGTAACTCAAAATGCTTTGTACTGCCTGTATTAATTTAAAAAGCTGCTTATTTAATATTCTTAAAGATCTGCACATTTGTACTACTGTATCTTTGTTTTGTATTGGACATCCAGTACTGGCAAGATTCAGAAGACGAGGGAGTGCTGTAGTGTTGTAAGTTAAGAGGTTTATTGTATAGAAGTTAGTACATAACAAACAGGGAAAGGGGCTTTCAAGCCGTAGGACTTGCTGGAAAATCTGAAAAGAGTCTGAATGCTGAGAACGTTAAGTCCAGTTCTAGGGAAACCCCATTCTTGTTCACCTGGATCTTAATCTGCAGAAACACAAGCATGATATGTACTCTGCTGCCTCCAGGAATGGTTTTGCTTATTTAGGCGGTAGCAGAACCACCAGCCCTGTTTTCCAGGCTGAAGAAGTGTTGTGTCCACTCATCTCTGCAGTCCCTTCTGGTCACAAACTCTGTGCCTGCCTCATCCCTGGCCTGTCAGACAGGGCTCTGGACAGAGCCGCAGCTTGTGCGCCGAGACAGCTGCCTGTGCTCAGTCCTCAGGGATCCTGATCCCACAGAGTCAGTGGGCTATGCAGGATGATGTGGAGGAAGGACAGACTGTGTGCCCCCCCAGAGGGGCTGTATTCGGTGCTGCCTGGCAAAGGGAAGGGCAGGTAGGAATGGGCTCCAAGCAGACCAGGCAGGACAGCGAAGGATAAGCATTAAGATCCCAGTGAGAGCTGTGTGGTGTTTTCCCTTCTGAATGCCATACCTGACAGGTGAGCCTGTGGCTACCAGGTGCTCTGGCTGGCAGCTGTCCGTAAAGACTTCAGATGGGGATATGTCTTTCCTGGTCCACCAGGGCCAGGGACAGTGAAGTCTGACGTGACCTGCAGCCAGGATCTGGGGTTTGGTGATAACGAGTCAGCTATTCCTACAGCAGGGGCAGCAGCATTTCATCAGACTGAGTCAGCAGATTTGTGTCCTTCCAGGTCCTAGCCATTGATCCCTTGTTATGTGTCAGGGCAAGCATTACTAGTAAAACTTCTTTTAGTTGGGTGTTAAAGGCATGGTATGTTTTTCATTTGCAAGTGCTGCTCCGGCTGGGACCACACCCTGCCCCAAGCAGGCTGGGTGCAGGATCCCTGAAATCAGGGCTCTGTGCTGGGCGGGAGGGGATGCTTTTTTTTGTGCACCCGCCTGCACAGGTGTCCCAATGTGAAGCCGAGCAGTACCTCATTTCTCCAAGTGGTCTGTGCAGATTAGAGACTAAATATCAGTTGTTCTTGAGCCTTGATGACATTTGTATGTAAGTGTGTTTAGCTTGACAAAAGTTGTTTGAGTTTACTAATGCAACAGAGAGATGTCAGGTGAAGCCAGTAACTTTCAGCAAGGAGCTGGCTACTTTAATTAGATTAGCCTGGCATCTCTGTCATGAAGTGGTTGCAAGCTCTCAACTCAGAGGTGATCTCCAGCATGTCTCTGATTACTAACTTCATTTGTGCTGCATAGAAAACTCTCTTACCTTCTTAATAGCGGCTTGTTTGACAGTCCTGAATTAAATGTTGACCAATTATCAAAGTAACTGTTTGTGAAGTTGCCAGTGATATATTTTCTGTAAAAAAATGGATTCGTAGAGTGTCAAAACATTAATTTCCCATTTGAGTTCATCAACAAATTGTGTAACTACCAGATTGTCATGGTAGCAGTATTAATATACATACCTGTATATAGACAAAAAAAATACTCAGTAATGATAATTGGAATCAAAAGGTTTAATATTTTTTCCCAGTCAAATACACTAATGCTTCAAAGGTGATAGAAGAGTGTACAGTTGTTAAACAAGTTGTAAATAAACGCTTATATAAAATGTAAATGCTTATTTGTCCTTTATTTGGTACTTGATTGTGAACTAGACCAGTGCACAGTTTGTGTTAGAAGTTACTGGTTTGAGCGTAAAGTGCTGTTCTGCTGTGTGAGATGACACCAGCTGGTGGTTAACAGGGACCCCAGTGGAGTGGGAATAACATGGATGAAACAAACCTTGCCCTCAACGCACTTAGAAGCAGGTACTACAGAACAGCTGGGGAAAAAAATCAGACATTTTTACAAAGCACAGCTCTACCTGGGCAGCTTTGGTGTCAGCTCGTCTGAGTCTTACACAGAGAAGTGGCATCATGGAAATGCATTTCCTGGGGCTCTGCAGAGGAAGGTGAGGGGAAGGTGGGCAGCAGCCTCAGAAACAGCAAACCTCCTGACTTTTGCTGGGAAGCATCCCACCTGGCTGCTGAGGTGCACGGCGTAGTTTGCCTCTCAAAGGGCCAAAGCTAAGTGACCAAAATGGACAATTTTCCTGTGCCAATGGAAGCTTCACAACAGGCGTAGCTAAAGGGGGGGGGAAAGACATTGCTCATGTGGACAGAAACAACTGTCCTTCCTTTCTGCACTGGTGAGCAGCTCTGGCATCTGGGGGAGGAGGAGGTGGTGGTCTCAGACACGGGCAAACATTGTGAAAGAAAAGGCAACAGCCACCAAGAGATACTGAGCCCACGAGTGTTGTGGTGCTGGGGTGGAGAAAGCTGTGCCAAGGCCCTGACAGAGCCCTTCAGGGGCTGCTCTGTAGAAGGAAGAGGAGAGCAGAAGCATGAGGGTGCCCTCATGGTGGCAGCAGCAGTAACAGGAGAGCAGAGGCTCAGGGTGGGCCCAGTTTGCTGGCTGGGAAGGGCAGGGGAGCCCCAGGGCTGGTGGCCAGCTTCTCCTGGGCCACAGGGATGGTAGAGGCAGGAAGCTGCCACAGCCTCACTTCTGCCTGCCAGGGATTCACTCTGGTCCCCTGCCCTCCTCCATCCCACCCCAGTCACTCCTCTTCATCTTGGGCATGACTGTAGTGTCTTCTGCCTCTGACCACCATTCCCTCTGCCTGTCCTGTTGTTTCCCACACTGTCAACTTCTCCTAACTTTTCCTATATATTTTTTTCCCTTCCCAGCTCCCCCAACCCCCCAGTGTGCCGAGACCCACATCAGCATCCCTTGTTCTGGCCTCCCCTCCCCATCAACTCCCACAAGGCCAGCACTTGCCTCCCTTATTTTTCACATGGTATAGGGGGGAACTGAGGCCCACTCACCTTCATCCTACCCCTCCACTGTTGCTGGCCCAGCAGGGAGGATGCAGCAGTGCAGGTCATCTTCCAAATGGCACCTCTCCTACACACCCCACAGCTGCAGGGCCCTACTTTTACCACCACATCCTAAGTGTGCTTATCCTTGTGTTGTGTTGGATATTGCAGGAGGCAAAGGCCACTGCTGTGTTAAAGGTTGTGTGGTGGAAGCACACTCCAGAAGCTGCATGGTTCCCCCCTACCGTTCTCCTTTTCCATTTTTATCCATGAGTAACTTTTGAACACCTGTGCTGGATGTGTAAGTACCTGCAAATAAATCCTTGTGCAGAGGCCAGCACGTTTGTACCCGCTGTGTTTGGAAGGCAGGAGCCAGCAGCAAGCTTGGAGGAAGGGCTGTACGAGACTGGCTGCAAGGACTGCAGGGCTGCCAAGGAGGGGAGGGCATGGTCACTCTGCCTCCAGCACAGGACACAGCACCGCAGAGGGGGGTTCCACCAGTGCTGGGCATCCGTACTTCGCTCCTGTTCCTTAGGGGCTGAAATGAAACAACAGCCTCAAAACAGCAAAGTGTCCTTTTGGCAAAGCAGGCAGACCAGAAGTGAAGGTCAGCTACGTCAGGGAAAAGATTCAGTGATGTGACTGGAAAACTCTTCACATACTGAAGGTACCCAGTGCTTTCCTGGTTTAGGTCTTCCAAGAGCCCCAGGAGCCAGTGGCACTTCTCTGCCTCCAGGGCCTTCTGACTGGTGGCATGGAATTGCCTTTACTCCTTTACAACAGACACGTCTC